TCTGCTTATCGAGTGGTCATGAAAATTTGCCAGATCATTGATGAATGTTGTCTCTTTAGATTCCACGCTTTGCTTTATATATGGCATTTTTGTCTTGGCCATAATAAAATCAGTCTAATTACTTAATTGTCAGACCTTGTGTACTTACTGATTGTCTTTAATTTCAATAATAAAACAAGTTCCTCTTTGAAAAAAAAGACAACTTATTTTTGGGCCACAAGACTTTATTTATTGTTACTTATTACCAGTAGTTTGTCACAGAGTTGTCACGACTGTGAGATTAATTTCCATAAAACAGCCAGCATAACTTAACTAAAGTTGACAATTGTAAAGCAACAAAAATGTTGTCAAATCATTGGTAACAGTACTTCATACAATGAAGAACTGTACAATGTCACGCGTAACATAAAATGTAGGAATGTCAACATTTGGAACAATGTGATTTTTCATAACATTGAAAGATGTTATCAAAGAACTACAAAATTTTGTAAATGGCACCACTTATTTATTGTTAACTGCACAGTTTAATACAATTACATTTGGAAGCCCTGATGCACAACTGTGCCTGGTACTGGTACAATTGTACAATCAGTTTCACACTTGCCTGATACTGCTGATTCACACTGACATGGAATACAAATAAAATGATTGTGAAAATATGTATATATGGCTCACAAATGTTAGATTATTGTCATGTAAAAATGACTTACTTTAAACAGCAGAAGAACAGAAGTAATCGTAATTACAAAGAAGAAAAGATCTCTCTCCAAGATGCAACATCAAAGTAAATGGGAGTCTAAAGTATGTCAGTACGTTTAAGTACTTGAGTATTCTGATAGCAGGAGATGTATTATAATAGTAGATTATAGTAACGTTTTCTGCCCCTGAAAGAGAGTGACTTCCCTTTCAATTCCTGCCTCTACGTGCTGCAGGGACTGTCCTATGTTGCAAGGGTGTCACGCTTAGTGACCAGCCAGCAAGATGTAGTATTTTACCACTTGCTGTCAGCAGCCAGCGATATCATGTGTTCTATATTCCACATTGTGAACACTTTAAAGGCCCCAAAATAGGTAGAACTGGCCCTAACCCCAACCCCACAGCCTCGGCCTACGCCCATTGACTCATGCAGTCTAGATCGTAAGACCATATGCAGCCACATTATAGGCTGCATGCAGTTGTTAGACGTAGGCTGCACTCTCTCGTGGAATATAGGCTGCACACTCTTGTGGGACTAAGGCTATGAGGTAGGGGTTAGGGCCAGTTCTAGATGTTTTGGGACCATTAGAAGCATTCACATCGTGGAATATAGAACGTGCAAAATCACATGCCGCTGACAACAACGAGTAAAATACTATGTGGTGCTGGCCGGTCACTAAACCCAGCAACACAGGACAGGCCCTGTGACATGACGAGGTATGAATGGGAAGGGTCACACTCTTTTAGGGGTGGTAAACATTACAAGCACTGAATAGTAATTAGAAAGTAACTAGCAATGCCAAAAGTGAGAGTGTACAACATGACAATTGGAACACCAAGAGGCAGGGGAAGGCCTGAAATAAGATAGTCACTGACAAAATTATAGAGAACAAAACATGTAGTAAGCAAATGGCTGCACACTAGCTCGGCTAATGATCATCTGTTCTACTGTTATACTGAGCAGCACAAAACAAATACAGAATAAGTAAGTGAAAGCAGCATCTTATTGGTTGAAGAATATTCTATGCAATCTATCTTTGCCAGTTGAGGTGAGAGTTTTTAAGAGCTATATAGAGCCAATCCTGATGTAAGGAAGTTAATCATGGACAGTCATCCAATGAGTGAATGTGGAAGCTGCAGATATGTGGTTAGACAGGTGATTGATGAGAACATCATACACAGATAAACATTGTAATGGAGAAGTCTTGAATCAAATTAACTCACAAAAATAACTTATCAGGAGACAATCCATTTTCTGTGGTAATGTCAGGAGAAGGGGAAAACTGGAGTATGATGTGACAGAGAGGACCAAGAAAAAAGATGCTGGACAGTTTGGCATCATGACATGGTAGATCATCAGTATCAGGAGAGGAGACTGTATGAGACAGAAGGCAAATTTATTGCACTTTACCTTTCCAGGTTTGTTCAAGTAAAATCTATTTTGTTGTGCACTAGTGTGCTTGCTGGTAATACTGACAAACTCATGCGCCCAAACATATGCATGTACAAACAAATGTACACACACATGAATGCATGCACAAACAAATGTACACACACATACATAGAGGCATATGTGCATTGACACACATACACACATTTATTTATTTATTTATACACAGAAATAAGTACATCCAACCAAAAATATCCAGCAAGACACAAACAAATATTGAACTATTATACACAAAAACTGTCAATCAAAGAAACTGACTGCAGAAGGATGTGCTTATCTAAAATGTAATAAGTGTACAGGCATAACAAATACACTTTATATGTACTTTACAAAGATAATTATATCCATTATGTTCTCAACACAACTGAAATGTGTTTCCAAAGTTTAAAAACAAAATAAACCAATTAGAATTTGTATGTACTTGAATGAAAAATTATTGGACAACAAATGAAAAAAAAAAACCAACTAAAAACTAATTTCTTAGAATTTGATTGGAAACTTTTACCAGCAAGAAATAAACACACAGCAGCCTAAATGAAAAACAGAAACTGTGAATGCAACATCCATCCATACTGTACAGAAGTCTGTGACAGCTCCATAGAATCAGTTAGTTATTTCTCTTAAGCCTAGAGCGGCGCATAGGCCAGAGGTAAAAGCTCTCCATGTTTCACGGTTGGTTGCCACCTGTTTGAGGTCTTGGATGTTGATAGAACTATGGTTGGGCATTCCTTGAGGATGATTCTCTGCAGGGTCTCTCTTGGTCTTCTCCATTTTCTGTTCTCTTCTGGTGTCCAAATGAGGGCTTGATAGTGGAGATTTGTCTTTGTCATTCTGAGTGCATGGCTGATGTAGTGTGTTACCAAACCATTACATTTGAATGTATTTTGTATTTATAGAATTCTTATGTCTTTAATGTGGCTGAAATATTTTAATGGTCTTCTTTGATTTTAAAATATCTTTCAACAACTTCCTGTTCAACCAAAATCTCACTATCTGACTTATCTTGTTTGTTTTTTTGGTTTGACTGATTAATGGCATATTCTTCTGTATACCCACATCTTCAGGGTCTCAGCCTCACTTTCTAATTGCATGTTAATTATTCAGATTTCTGCTACATACAGTAGCTTTGCATAAAAGATCTGATCATTCTCATTTTCATAAATGAATCTCTCAGGACATTAACTCTTTGAGTCCCAGGGAGTTTAGCATCAGAGGCCAAAGGCGTGGTAATGCAATTTTCTAATTTCACAAGTGTAACACATTAAAACAGACCATACTGATTTAATCACCACGCAACATACACATATTATACATCAAAGTGACCAGGGATTGTTGAGGAATAATTTTAGAACACAGCTACAAAAAATAATTGCATTAGTTTTTGTAGTAATTAAATACTAGTAAATAAACAGACAGTATGCTTACAAAAACTAGCAACAACAACAAAAAAAATCCAATACCACCATAGCACTCAAGAAAAACTGGTTAAAATGTATCCAAAATGAATCACAAAATGAATATGAACCACTTAGTAATGTTTAAGTAAAATATAAACTTAGTCTATACATTGGTTTTTGTTCCAGAGAATCTTTTGAAGCATCATAACAGAGCACCATTATTTGGTAAAGAAAACTTACTCCCAAAACAATAAGTATCTTCACAGAAAAAAAGTTTATATAACACTCAATTAGACTGCAATTTTGTAGCTTTGTTCCTAAAAAATAAGGGCAATAGCACTAGAACTAACTGACACTGAAGAAAATCCTCTTTTCACTAACATTTATTCTATTTGTGCCAGCTGACATTGCTATCATTGTACCCTTCGTGTCAGGTGCACATTAGACATATCCCTCATCAAAGTTTGACTCTTTAAATAATTGAAACGTGTCTAATTTTATCTATCTCACTTTGGATAAACCTTAAAAAAAAAAACATGTACTTTATTTAAATTTTGGCTTCTAAGGCCGTAAATCATGTTGGCATGCATGTAGAATACTGCTTGGCGGCCATATTCTTTTCAAAACAAACAGTAACTCAGCGAATCTCACAAATATTCTATATTTGCAGCTTTCAACCGTTTCTAATTGAGCACGCCTGATATCAGACACAATGAACTTGAAAGGAAGTTGAAATTGAGCGGTCTGCATTTTACAACCGGTCAGTGGTAGATTAAAAACCTTCAGTTGTCACGGTTCGATTGTGCTGCACAGTTGTAACACATTAGCACATGATGCATTCCTGGGACTCAAAGAGTTAATACCTTTTCATATTGAAAACATTCTTGTCTAATTCTAATTTTGATTTCTATTTCACCACTGTCATCATTTGTTATTTAAGTGTCTAAGGTAAGAGAAGCTTGCAACAAATTATTCTAGTATCTCTTCCTTTTCTGTGATGTTCCATTTTAACTTGTCCAGCTAATTATCAGTTTTCATATTTTGAATATTAAACCCAAATCTAATCAACACTCTACACTATGCCCCTTTACCTGCTCAACTAGGTACCGCAACTCCATGTCAGTTTATTCTTCTTCTGTAAAACCACATTTCTAAAGCTTTTCAAAATTCATTTTCATTTTACTTATGAAATAAATATAGACAAAAGAAAAGGCACTATGATTAGCAAGAAAACTTAAGAATTAAACATTGGACAGTAAATTAGACTAACCTGAAGAATTATTTGGTACACTTATTTTTCTTCTATTCAAGTTTACACAAAATGCAACAAGAAAAAGCATATGACAGAATACAACTTTGCTTACTTTGGATGCAATATACTTTGAGTGAAATCTCATTGCATTCTTTTGTTTGTTTAATCCTAAGTAAACATAAACACTATCCTGTGATGAGTATGTTTAATTCAATCCTACATCAGCACTAGTAGCCCGACCCCCAAGTAAAGAGGCTAGTTCTGTGAGGCGGTGTCGATTGGCTACCATGTAGCAGTGTGTCTCCCACATCATGTTGATAAGTATTTTGATGTCATGACAGTCCAGACTGACATCTTCAGACAAAAGAGGTGAAAATCGGTAATATGGAACGTTGATCATGCTACACCAAGCACGAGCCCTGTCTACTGGTCGTCCTTCAGATTTTGTGGCCTGAAGATTGAAGGAAGGATGCATCATTTTAAGATTTGACTTACTTTTATACAGTCTGATGACACATACGTTTAGCTAAATGCAGAGCTCATAACTTACACTAACAACTGCACAATAATTTTTATACTTAAAAAAATCAGTGTCACAGCACTAAAGTGAATTTGGCAATTTGAAAAAAAAGTACAAAATAAAAAACACATTTAGAACAATTATTTAAAAAAAAGAAAAGGTTATTTGTGTATACTTTACAGGCCGTTGCAAAAACAACATAATTTTTTGCTGTTTGTAATATCACTTATTTTTATAAGTTTCAACCGTGAAAACTTCTTCTTCTGCCCTTCATTCCCCTGATAGAGCATAAATTCTCAACCAATTAACATCAAGTTCCATCCTATGAAAATAAGTTAAGGACTGTCAGGTTTCTTTGTGGCTATGAGATGATGGTGTATGATGATGGTGAGTCGTTGGCTGGTACTTAGTTGACTAGTACTTAGTTGACTAGTACTTAGTTGACCACTTAGTGACTGCGACAGGTATTTTGCGATAGCTTGACCGCAGGATAATTTAAGTGTTAGTCTGTGTTAGAGAGAGATAGTCCACGGTGTCTATTTATACTGGTATTCATTCATGTAATTAGCTGTGTGTTAGCTAGGTGGTTCGCAAAGGGGGTCGTCTTATCGCACTAGCCACAGCCGTGCAGCAGCACAGCTGCTCCACTGTAAGGTTCAGAAGCACAGGAAAGAGCTTGGATTGGATGCTGCTGGTTCGGACCCAGGTAATGCCTGTAACAACTGTAAGGCCAGTGTGTGTGACAATTATAAAACCTTCCGGCCGGTTGGGATACAATTTGCAAGCCACGTCTGGGGTTAGGTACCCACTGCTTGGTGCAACTGATTAAAGACTGATGTGTATGCTCTGATGGTGTTGGGTTAGTTGTGTTTAAGGACAGACATTTCTATCACAGAGCTGCCAATGAGCCATTTGCCTTGGCAGCAGTAAGCAGGTCTTTGACAAGGACCCTTTTAGATACCTTCAGAACAGAACAATCGGCACTCAGTGGGTGATGTGGTCAACATCACCCCAGCCGCTATTACTTCCTAGGACTGTACCTGGTACCCATTTAAGGCTGGGTCAAGCTGGGAGAAAAAGTCATTTTTGAAAAAGGCCTGGCTCCTCCAGGACTTAAACCCCTGACCCTCAGATCTGCAGGCGAGCATCTAGCCACTATACTACAGGATCCCTCCATCACATGACTACTGGTTTAAAGCTAGTTAGTTGTGTGTCCTTTGCAGGAAATTGCAGAATCAACCCTAGCATTATTTTTTGCTGTCTGGTTTCACTAGACAATTTGACATTCACCAGTTTGCCACTGCCCAATGAATGGTCGGCTCTTGATGCCACTGTCGAAAGCAGTTAGGTGGTCTGCTGCCAAACTGGTTGCAGCTAGGACTGAATCCAGCATCTTGGAATTACGAAGAATGTTGGCAACACCTAAGCCATAGATGCCGACTCAGAACAATTACACATGTGTAAATACAGGTAGTTTGATAAACTATTTGAATTTTAAATAACTAATTTAAATAATGCGATAACTTATTTATAAATTAATTTCAACAAAAATTAAACATGAAATGGCACAGCTTTGGTAATAACAAATAAACAGACATGCCTAAATGTACAAACTGAGTGAGCGGTATTAATTTTGGGTAATTACAGAAATTTAAATATATAGTCACATGGAAAACATTAGATCTAACATGTACCACAGAGATATAGAACAGAAGAGGACAAGGAAAAAAAGTCTTTTATAAAATGATGCACATCTTATACAATCAATCTCTTCAGGAAAAGACAGGAAATCAGAAAAATGATTTTTGAATGTTACACAGAACCAGTCGAAACATGTGGCCGTTAACCCTGAACAAGTAGTTTAATAATGAGGTAGAAACACAAAGTATTTTAACAGACCAAACAGCATTCAATGAATTGTGTGGTCCAAATCATGTCAAATAATTAGTAAACAAGCAAGAAAACTTCATTTTGATGCCTTATACAAAAATATAAACCATAACTGGATGATCAGAATTTAACTTTTAGCACCCCACAGTCGAGTATATTGGACTTCCGCCGCCCACCTCGTAGCGTCCCACAATCGAGTATACTCGACATCTATATATGGTTGGGGAATACGAAGCCTAAACGGAGCTATGCGTGTGACGTCACTTGAAAACTATAAATAACTATTCTAGAGTGGTTTCACTTTCTCTTTGTCTGTTTTGATTGCTAGGAGGCCGAGAGTAGGTTTGTGTGATAAATTTTTCTGAGCCAGTTCGATATCCATCACCATCCTTCAAAATGGAAGCCATTTATTCTGAAATATTCATGGATTCTGACTCTGACGATGAGATTTTGGGTGTTACTGCAGCCGATATCAGTCGCGAAGTTGATATGTCTGGAGACGTAAGTGAAGGTAGTTCTGTTTCCAGTGTGTCAGATTCTTTGGATAAGGAAGACGAGGTGGTAAGTGGTCGTGCTCCCTCTGGTTACAACCATTCTTGGCTTCGCGACTTCTCTGAAGTTGTGGGACCTATAGGCCTACCTGATAATATTAGTGAGGTCGACATGTTTCGTCTGTTTATTACAGATGATATACTGAACATGTTGATGACCGAGACTAACCGTTACCAGGGGCAGGTTAGGGCCAAGAAGGGGGCAGACGCTAGTTTGTCCCATTCTTTAAAGAAGTGGAAGGAAGTCACAGCTGATGATATGAGATCGTTTATTGCTGTGACGCTCCTTATGGGACTTGCACCTCGTTCCTCATATGACTTATATTGGACTACTGAAAGTCTGCTAGAGATGCCTGGGTTCAGGGAGATTATGAGTAGGAACAGGTTTCAGGCTATCCTGTCTTTCCTGCACCTCGTGGACAACACAACTGCTGTACCACGAGGGAACCCTGGGTATAGCAAAGCTTTCAAGATTAGACCATTTGTTGATGCTCTTCTTCCTCTGTGCCAGAGGCATTTCACTCCCTCTAAGGAACTCAGTGTTGATGAAAGCATGATAGCTTTCAAGGGCAGGACTAATCTGATGCAGTACATGCCGATGAAACCTTCTAAGTGGGGTATGAAGGCTTGGGCGCTGGCTGACTCCAAGACGGGCTACCTCTGGAATTGGCAGCTGTACCTTGGGAAGGAAGACACCCATGACCCTACCCAAGGTTTGGCACATAGAGTTGTGACTTCCTTGGTTGCCCCTCTGTATGGAAAGGGTCATGTTGTGTACATGGACAATTTCTTTTCCTCTCCAGTCCTTTTCAAGGAGCTTGCCGTAAATCAGACGGGCGCTTGTGGCACACTGCGATCTAATCGCAGAGGAGTACACGCGGCTGTCAAGGCTGCAAAACCTAAGGCTGGTGAACACCCCATCACTGCAAGAGATGATAACCTTCTCTACATTTCATGGTGTGACAAGAGGCCTCTCAATTTGATAACAACTGCACACGATGACCTTTGAGAATCACGTCCGATTCAAACATCATGCTGCCAATGTGCGGGTCGTGACTAAGCCATGTGCTGTAGAGTCCTATACTCGTCATATGGGAGGTGTGGACCGTCTTGACAAGCAACTAACATGCTATTTGTTAGCCCACAGGACCTGCAAGTGGTGGAAAAAAATTTACTTCTATCTCTTGGAAGCTTGTTTTGTGAACTCGCTTGTCCTGTGGAGGGCCAAATATCCTGGCCGAGTCAAGGCGGAGAAATTCTGTGTGCAGACTGCTCGTGGGCTTCTTGCTTTGAACAAGCCTAGGGCCAGCAGCAGCTTCCATGGTAGAAGAGCCAGCGATCCACCTGCTAGGATATCGGCTTCATACTATCCTGCTCTCAATCCAAAGCGATTGAAGACTGGCAAACATGCACTTGGTGACTGTGCGGTGTGCTCAGACAGACATAAAAAGCGTCACCAAACGACATATGTCTGTGCCACTTGCCATGTTAGTTTGTGCCCTCATCCCTGTTTTGGGAGATACCATTCTCTTGTGAATTACAAGATAGATTGCTGTGAGGAGCTGCATGACTAATTGGTGAGTCTTTATGTTTGTACTGTTTTTTTTTTTACATTTTTCCCATTTCACTCTGTCCTCACACATCACCTATCAAACATACACCAACAAAACTCATATCAATGTATGCAGAAATCATTTCTTTATTTCAGTTTAAATAATTATGCAAAACTATTCATAAACCAAAAAGTTATTGTGTTTTCCATGTTTCCTCCATAAAAAACGCAAAATGTGAAAAAATAAGGTGGGAAGCAAGGGAAATAATTTGAAATTTTATTGTGGGGTGCTAAAGGTTAAATACTTTAAAAGGAAACATCACAAACAATTGGCAGAGGTAGTTTTCATTATGGGGGCCACATTATGAGAACAGTAAACTGGATCCTGTGATGAGAAAATTTAAGGAAAGATAGCAAGTGAATGAGAGAAGATTCTTGACTGTTCTGTCATGGCATGGAGAGATTTCAGCAAAAGAATTCAAACATGCTGTAGCAGATTGTAAAATTTAAGGAAGCATGATCACCCACACCAGTGAACATGGCACTTGATGATGATGGTACATGAGTAACAAATAAACAATTATTGTGTGTAGAAATAAAGTCACCACTACCTCATCAATCACTAGTCTGCCAAGTGCAGTTGCTCCTGAGACAGCTTTATAGAAATCAAACAGCCCTTGAGGTAGAAAGACATCCATATTTTCAACAGTCTTTGTGGGGATTCTCCCACAGCCAATGGATATGACACAACCAATAGGCCGGGCCTCATCTGCACGATTCTGTTAGATATGCAATGTTGAAAAAAAAGTACAAAGGACTCATGTTTCACAGTCTGAGGTGTATCAAGTATATGATGATTGTTCTCAATTTTCAATGTGGTCAATATCATAGTGATGAACATTTTAAAAAAAAGGGGAGGTGGAGGATAACGTATTTTTCAAACAGAACTACCCAACAACAATGACTGTTACAGGAACATACATCCTTTGTTATCTATGAAAAAAACAGACCTCGTAATTCAATAATAGTTATTCAAGTAAGATCTGCTACATATTAAAACTACTTACAGTGTTTATCACATTTAAGATTATCTTAGGTACTACATACTGCAATGAAATTGCAAGACCAACAAACATGTGTTTTGGACATCTTGTGAGAATAAAACCCAACTAGTCAATACTTTGTTTCAATAACTGAAGAAGCTTTGGTTACATAGAGTGACGTAAATCTTGAAACAGACAAATGGATTCCATCCAGAGTGACTTCACAGACTCAACACAGTCCATGTGACATTTGCCCAAGGACTGACAACTTAAACACTACTCTATGCTTAATGGCAAATGTTGAACAAAAGATCACCAGCCATACACTGAGAGATAACAGAGCACAAAAAAAAAAAAAAACTGTCATTATGTGATCATTAAAAAATTACAACTTACCAATAATTTGAGGCCTAAATTGTATTCATATATCTCTGTTAGAACATCTAAAGTAGGATTGTTGGCTATTAGGCCACCATCAAGGAATGGGCCATATGCCCTGAAGTATGTTGGGGCAGCTCCACTACTTCTGGCTGCCTCCCAGATCTTCTGTTCTGGAAAATGACAATTACATATTAACAAAGTGCACACAAGAAGACGTGTGAAATTTGCAATGCAATTATCCATGTATTCTCGGTATGTTGGGAACTGGTTTCTTTCCCCAGATAAACATATGTTACAGATTTCCACATGGCCTTGCCCCAAAGACTTCTGAAGATTATCGCAGACCCCTGCCTTGATGACCACTTCTAGCATTGTTCTTCACATCATCCTTTCTGTCTTCAAAGTGAGCATACCATTGATGCACATCAGCATGATACATGGCAGCAACACCATCACTCTTATTAATCAGTTGCATCATTTCCTTGGCATTTTCACTAACTGCTTTCTTTATCAAGTACAACAATTTATTTTAATTATGCACACATTTGTTATGTACATATACAAACACACACACAGGCATGTGCATACACACACAGGCATGAGGTCTTTTTGGTGAACTGGTCATGGCATTTGTCTCAAGCTATTAGGACATTATCATAACAAATATATATATATATATATATACTTACATATGCAAACACACAAACACACACTGAGAAAGAGAGAAAAAGAGAGAAGGAAAAGGGGAGTGACAGACAGGTGCAGCACTGTACAAACACAAGTCATACCTGCAGGCTTCTTTTCCTCAATTACTGCTGATGGTGAAGACTTGCAATGGCTAAAGGTCCTCTCAAAATTGCAGAAGAAGTGCAAATCTGCTGGATATCTGTCTGCAAGAACTGCTGTCACCAGAATTCTAAACCACATCAGTTGACAGAAGACTGATACTTTGTATTATTATCCTGTTTTTATTTGCTAACAACATATTGATATTTTCTTTTAATATTGATATTTTCTCACATTAACAGACACAGTCCTTTCTGATAGATAAAAGATGCTTCTAATTACAAATAATTACAACAAACTAACTGGGAACAAAGAAAATGTTTAACCAATCATTTTACAACTGCTATGTTACGCTAATAGAACAAGCAAAATATTAATGATACTTTTTTCTAAATAATTCCATAAAAATAATCGTATTTCAATTGTCAGTGTCTGACAATGAGAGGAAATAAGTACCACTGACAATAATGTAAGTACTGTTTTTATTTGTGCAGGTGTCAGTGGCAGGCAATACAAGATTTCACAACATCACAGCATACCAAGCAATTGAGTGCTCCAGCTCGACTACTGATAATCTATTAAAGTGTGAATCCAGAGCACAAAGCAGTTATTGATAAACGGAGAAAAGGATGACATTTTCAGAATTCCTGTATGGAACCACATCTGTGTTTCAGTATGTTTGCTAATTGTCCAGTATTTATAGGCACATAGTAAAATATAACATGCAAGGCGTCTTTTTTTTTTTCTAACCTCTAATGATTTAGTACATAAGATTTTCATTTGATGAAATGCAGCTTTTGCTCATACAACAGATATCATTATCTCTGTGAGACTTCTCATCTATGTTATCCATGTGCTAATTTACTTCAACTTTTGTATTTTCTTAAATTAACTTTCTACACTTCAATATTCAACCAAGCAATAATTCAAATAAAAAGTCCTTTAAATAAAATATATTAGATACTGTGAACAAAATGAACTCTCCTTACTTTGGATGTTTGATATCTGACATGACAGCATCTTCGGTAAATTCTCTTTTCAGCATTTCTTCAAAGGGACCCGATTCATAAGGACGCTTGCCTTTAAACACTTCATCTTTCAAACGTACATATAATCCTTTCATGTACTGAAGAGAAAAACCTACAAGATAGCAGACAGCAAAACAAATTAAAAAAATATATGTAACTTAAAAAAAAATTATTATTGTATCACAATTCAAAAGGCTATTTTCAACATTTGGTTAAAATAGAAACAAAAAAAATAGCATGTAGTAATTTTTGTCTGATCACAAAATTATAATATGTTAAACTGCATTCTTTGTGGCAAGTTTGACTACACATCATCATCCAGCAGATCCCTTGCAGACTTGTCACTCTCCTCATGGCTGGCAAAAAGTCTCTGGATACTCGGCCAACTCCCCTGTCTCATGCATGGTTATACATAGTGTCCTCTTTTTTGATACTACTCAACCCTATCTCATCTACCAGCAACTAGATACTGCTCAACCCTATCTCATCTACCTGCAACTACATACTGCTCAACCCTATCTCATCTACCTGCAACTAGATACTGCTCAACCCTATCTCATCTACCAGCAACTACATACTGCTCAACCCTATCTCATCTACCTGCAACTAGATACTGCTCAACCCTATCTCATCTACCAGCAACTAGATATTGCTCAACCCTATCTCATCTACCAGCAACTAGATATTGCTCAACCCTATCTCATCTACCAGCAACTACATACTGCTCAACCCTATCTCATCTACCAGCAACTAGATATTGCTCAACCCTATCTCATCTACCAGCAACTAGATATTGCTCAACCCTATCTCATCTACCAGCAACTACATACTGCTCAACCCTATCTCATCTACCTGCAACTAGATACTGCTCAACCCTATCTCATCTACCAGCAACTACATACTGCTCAACCCTATCTCATCTACCTGCAACTAGATACTGCTCAACCCTATCTCATCTACCAGCAACTAGATATTGCTCAACCCTATCTCATCTACCAGCAACTAGATATTGCTCAACCCTATCTCATCTACCAGCAACTAGATACTGCTCAACCCTATCTCATCTACCACTAGATACTGCTCAACCCTATCTCATCTACCACTAGATACTGCTCAACCCTATCTCATCTACCAGCAACTAGATACTGCTCAACCCTATCTCATCTACCAGCAACTAGATACTGCTCAACTCTATCTCATCTACCACTAGATACTGCTCAACCCTATCTCATCTACCACTAGTTACTGATCAACCCTATCTCATCTACCAGCAACTAGATATTGCTCAACCCTATCTCATCTACCAGCAACTAGATACTGCTCAACCCTATCTCATCTACCAGCAACTAGATATTGCTCAACCCTATCTCATCTACCAGCAACTAGATACTGCTCAACCCTATCTCATCTATCTGCAACTACATACTGCTCAACCCTATCTCATCTACCAGCAACTAGATATTGCTCAACCCTATCTCATCTACCAGCAACTAGATACTGCTCAACCCTATCTCATCTACCAGCAACTAGATACTGCTCAACCCTATCTCATCTACCACTAGATACTGCTCAACCCTATCTCATCTACCACTAGATACTGCTCAACCCTATCTCATCTACCAGCAACTAGATACTGCTCAACCCTATCTCATCTACCACTAGATACTGCTCAACCCTATCTCATCTACCTGCAACTACATACTGCTCAACCCTATCTCATCTACCAGCAACTAGATATTGCTCAACCCTATCTCATCTACCTGCAACTAGATACTGCTCAACCCTATCTCATCTACCTGCAACTACATACTGCTCAACCCTATCTCATCTACCAGCAACTAGATACTGCTCAACCCTATCTCATCTACCAGCAACTAGATATTGCTCAACCCTATCTCATCTAGCAGCAACTACATACTGCTCAACCCTATCTCATCTACCAGCAACTAGATACTGCTCAACCCTATCTCATCTACCAGCAACTAGATACTGCTCAACCCTATCTCATCCAGCAGCAACTAGATACTGCTCAACCCTATCTCATCCAGCAGCAACTAGATACTGCTCAACCCTATCTCATCCAGCAGCAACTAGATACTGCTCAACCCTATCTCATCCAGCAGTAACTAGATCTTCCATCCCTGCTCCTTACAAACCACAGCCACATTTAATATGGCCAAATGATTTTCGTTTTTGAGGCGTGAAGCTGTTTGTGAGCCAGTTTTATTTGGTTTTAGATCTTGCAGAATGTATTGTCAAGAAATTTATAAAAGTCACTTCTATGCAATCTTTGTCAAGTGAGCTAAGAAGGAGAATTTTCAAGAGCCAAATAAACTGACACAGAGTACACAGAATTGAATCACGGACAATAAACCAATTAGTAAAACATTATGTAGAAGCTGTGGGGAAGTGCTTTGATATATAAATGACGAGAACACCCTTGAAAGATAAAAACAGCAATGAAGATGTATTAAAAGAAACATTTATGAAGAGAACTGATTGCTAGTATCAGATGGAGATAATCTACACACTTTGGTTATGTCATGAGAAGGAAAAACTAGAGTACATCATAGCAGGTATAAAGTTTAAAGTTGGGGGTGAGAGGGAAAGAGAGGGAGACCATGAGCGAAGATAATGGACAGTTTTTTATCAGAGCATGGAAGTTCATCTCTGTCAGAACTGACTGAAAGTATATGAGACAGAAGGTTGCGGACAGACATTACCAACATTGCACGACAAGGACTACAAGAAGAAGAAGAAAGGTAAAGATGATTCTTTTCCAATCCTTGATGCTAGCCCATTACAGACTGCCACTATTTTAACTATTTACTGGCAACCATTTCAAATTGGGACAACAATGAAGCCATTATCATTTGTAAGAAAATCTCAATATTATCAATTTCATGCTGCATCAAATAACCGAACAAAGTAGGAAATGGAATAGTGCTTTATATGGTCTCCGTAGATTCTGAAAAAGGCTTTTGACAGCTTGCATAGAGAATCACATTAACATACCACATAATAATAAATACGATCAAAACAAGGTAGTCTGCAATATCATACAACAGAAATATCCCTTATCAACAAAAGAGTTAGGTAGGGAGGCCATGACACTTTCTGTTCAACCTGGCCACTGGTTGGCTGCTGAAGGAAGTTACAAGAAACAGAAACAGGAGTATCACACAATTACTTATATCTATTTTAGAGAAAGTAACTAGCTATGCCAAAAGTGAGAGTGTACAACATGACAATTGGAACACCAAGAGGCAGGGGAAGGCTTGGAATAAGATAGTCACTGACAAAATTCTGTCAAACTGCTATGTGGATGTTCAGGAAAAGAATGAAAGACATTAGACAATGGCCCTTAAGATACCCAAGACTATGGAAAACTTATAGAAAAGTCAGCTGGATGGTTTAAAATAAACAAAAAAATGTCACAGAATGCATGTATGTGTTATGAACAGTTGCTCAGGTCAGTACTCAAACAGAACAATGGTAGGAACAAAGATATTCTTCCCAAAGACTGAAATACTGCCTTATGATGTTTAATTGTGGCTCACCACCGATAACCCAAACTCCATATTCATTTATAAAAAAATTAATAATATTGCAGATCTACATAAATCATGGTATAATGAATAAATCAATTTTTTAAAGTGACAGATAATGAGCAAGACATCTTGCAATTAAACCTCAACCAGCAAAAAGTCTCAAGCATACTTTGGTAAGGGATTAAATCAAATCCATTAAACTGATCGTTCAAGAAATTATCAGTTACACTTCATGAATTTTGTTTTGGTTTAATCCTGGTTATAACACTTAGAGACTATTGCTCTTATCTTTGTAGAAGGTCTTGTAAAGATTTGCTGCTCTCATCACTCCTGGCTGCATCAATCTCACCAGACTGTGGTGATCCATCTGCTCCTCCGAACTGTACACGCTCTCCCACAGGGCACTAAATAACTCTGCCTTATCATGCATCAGTATTCCACCAAGTTGTGCAGAGCCAGCCACTCTGTCCGCCTGTTTATTTCCCAACACACCGGCATTTCCTGGTGAACAAATCCAGACAATACTCCTTACCCGTGTCCTCCGCAGTGAAGCATGCCTGTTCTGACTTTCCTCAGCATGTTTTCTGAGTCAGTTACAATCACGATCTGTGTGTGTCGTGTTCTTCAACCAGCAGAAAGCTGCAGTGACTGCCTCCACCTCCATGTTGTGGTATCATATACCAGGCTCTCTTGCACCAAACATCAACCATTAACTTTTGCTTAGAAACTCCAAACACTTCTTTTGCCTCTCAACACTGAACTGTCTGTGTGAATAATCAAATCATCTGAGCGAGCATTATCTTGAATTAATTGCTGAATTTCCACATCCGTGGCACCTGCTGCCCAGTCTCTGCATTCCCGGCTCAGTGTGATTATGACCCTACACAAGTTCAGGTGGCACTTTGACCCACTCCTCTCTGTGTCTTCTGCCTAAGCTATCCATGACTTCCCTCTTAATCGCAGCTGACCCTTAACTGCCCCCAGAGCTTCGTGCAAAGAGTGGTCTGTGTCTGCAGGTACCTTGCGATATGACTTCACATGCAGCACCTTGTACAACAGTCGGCAAATCAAGGATGTATTGCATACAAACAACTGGGGTGTCTGGTGCAACCCAGAATGACCCGCATAGCTGCGTTCTGTGTGCAATCTTGTTTGTCCATCTGACTCTTTGAGATGGTAAGCAGTCCCAGGCCATAATCAACCACTGACAGGATCAGGTGCTGATATAGTTTGAAAAGCATTCTCTGCTCTATGTCAATTAAGTGCACTAAGTCCTTTTTGGCATCTAGTCCAGATTTAACAATGGCCAGGATGCTATTTACAACATGTGTACTAGAAAACAGATAAAAAAACCTGTAGGAGTGGAAACTAGACAATGCAGAACTGCCACTGAGCACATTTATGGGGAACTGGGTACTATTGGAAGTGCCAGATTTGCAGCTTCTCGGAGTGGATGTGTAAAGAAACCATCAGCTTACCTCTGGCAACACCTAGTGCTAAAATGGCTCCTGTGCTCGTGCCTCCAATCCAGTCAAAACATTCTTGGATTGGCTTTCCAACAGCTGTTTCAATTTCCATTAGAATCTGAATAAGGACCAATCCACGAATGCCTCCACCATCTAGACAAAGAACCTTCCAAGTTTAAAGAAAATGTGATATTATAAAAAGTGACAACACATCATAAAGACATCAAATTTAAGACATATATATATATATATATATATATATATATATATATATATATATATATATATATATATATATATATATATATATATATATATATATATATATATATATATATATATATATATATATATATATATATATATATATATATATATATATATAGAGAGAGAGAGAGAGAGAGAGAGAGAATTATTTACTCAGGTGGGAAGGAATATAGTAAGGGAGTTGGTATTATTTTGGATCCAAGGAACTCAAAAACTGTGAAAGGATTTGGGACAATATCAAATAGAGCACTATTAGTAAAACTTTGTGGCAGACCGCTTGACATCAACTTAGTACAGATTTACGCCCCAACAACATCTTCAGAGGAAGATATTGACGCATTTTATGACGAGTTAGACATGGCTGTTGATCAATGCAAAAACTGTGAAGTAACAATGGTACTTGGAGATTTCAACGCGAAAATAGGAAGTGAAAAAGTGTACGGAATAACGGGTGGCTATGGCCTAGGATAAAAGAATGTGAGAGGTGACAGATTAATAACATGGGCTGAGTCCCGCAGCGTGATAATAGGTAACACCTGGTTAAAACACCATCCTCGAAGATTGTGGACTTGGAAAAGTCCTGGTGATAATGTCCACAATCAGATTGATTATATTTTGATTTCAAGAAGATTTTGGAGCAGCTTAGTTGGAGCAAAAACTAGACCAGGAGCAGACTGTTTTAGTGACCATGTTCCAGTTGTAGGAGAAATTAAAATAAAACTAAAGAACATTAGAAAAACACCACAGAACATCAAGTTAAATTTAGGAATCCTTAGAATGGATAAAGAAATTAAGGACCAGTACAATGTCACTGCACAAAACTGGTATAATGCAATGGAAATTATACAGACTATTGATGAACAGTGGGATATGTTGCGTGAGTCAATTCAGCAGACATCTAAAGAGACAATCCCACCAACTCATAGAGTTGCAAAAAAGAAATGGATGTCAACAGAAATTCTGCAGTTGATGGATGAAAGAAGGAAGAAAAAGAATGATAAAGAAGAATACTCTAGAATACAAAAAGAAATAGTTAACAAATGCAAAGTGGCTAAAGAAGCCTGGCTAAATCAAATGTGTACAGAGATTGGGAAAAACAACAGGAAAGACTCACATTCCATGTACCAACAGATAAATATGTTAACAGGAAAGATGACACGTAACAGCACTGGATGTTTGAAATCAAAAGATTGTGACTTATTAATGGGACATAGTAATATAATTAACAGATGGACAGAGTATATAGTGGAATTGTATGATGATAATAGACCAGATGTAGATTTGCAGACCAACAATAATGGTCCACCAATAATGAGTGCAGAAGTTGAGGATGCAATACATAATATGAAGAAAGGAAAAGCACCCGGGCCAGACAACATCTCACTTGGAAGAAATCAAAGCACTGGGAGATTTTGGAAATGAAATAATAACTAAACTTTTAGATGTTATTTATAATAGTGGGTATATTCCAAATGACCTTTTAAAATCCATATTTATAGCTCTGCCTAAGAAACCAGTCACTATAAAATGTGAAGACCATCGCACAATAAGTCTTATGAGTCACATGACTAAGATTTTACTGAGAATAATTATGAGAAGAATAAGAAACAAAATTAAACCAGAAATCAGCGATGAACAATGTGGATTTGTAGAAGGAAAAGGTACAAACAATGCCATATACATCCTAAGGACATTGTCAGAAGGAGCTATAGAAGTAAAGACTGATTTGTACATATGCTTCATAGACTATACAAAAGCATTTGACTGTGTGAAGCATGAAGAAGTAATCAAACTGTTGGAAAAATTAAACTTTGATGGGAAAGATCTACGAATAATAAAGAATATGTATTGGCAGCAAACAGCAGCTATAAGAATTAACTTTTCAAAGCATAAAGAGGGGCATACGACAAGGATGTGTACTGTCACCTGATTTGTTTTCAATATACAGTGAATATATAATGAGATCTTTAATTGGTATGCCCGGAATTGTGGTTGGTGGGCACAATATAAACAATTTACGTTATGTTGATGACACAGTCTTGATAGCAACAAGTCAGAAAGAATTACAGGAAATGATAGACATTGTGGTGTTAGAAAGTGGAAGAATGGGCCTCAGTTTGAATAATGGGAAGACAGAAGTAATGGTGGTATCAAAGAAACAAATTATTCCTATATGTGTAATAAAAGTCAATGGTGTTGTACATAGATAACATCAGATGGAAGATGCATAACTGAGATAAGAAACAGAATAGGACATGTAAAAACTGCATTTTATAAAATGAAAAACATCTTGTGCAATATATCCTTGTCATTGAGAGTTAGAAAAAGAATTCTTGCTTGCTACATACATCCAGTTTTAACATATGGCTGTGAATCCTGGACAATCGGTAGGCAGGCCAAACAGTTTCTAGAGGCCTCAGAGATGTGGTTTTAGAGAAGAATGCTTAGAATACCTTGGACAGCCAAAAAGAGCAACCAAGAGGTTTTGAAAGAGGCAGGAGCCCGAAGACAACTTATCACAGACTTCAGAGGGAGACAGTTACCATTTTTCGGCCATGTTATGAGAAGAGCGAAAATAGAACAAGTTGTGACCACTGGAAAGATCTGTGGAAGGAGAGACAGAGGAAGAAGAGAGAAGATGCTTGACAGTCTTGTTGCATGGCATGGAGGTGTGTCGGCACACGAACTGATACATGCTGCAGGAGATCGCAGATTATGGAGAGGCATGATCGCCCACGCCAGTCAACAAGGCACCTGATGATAATGATGACGATTTCGGTATTTTAATTACGTGTTAATTACTATAATTACTGTGTTACTGATTTCACAAATATTTTAGACAACTAAATTTCCATAATTTACACAAAAATAATCAACTAATTACAAGAACATAGTATACTTACCATTGGTACTAATTTCTGGAACATATTACAAAAAACTGCATTAAACTAATGTTGAGAACATGTTAAACAAACAAGACATTTGTTACTGAGAAGAAGAATGCATACAACAAACATAACTGAACCGATTACTGATTTTAACAACTACTAACTACAAGAATGTATGATAAACTAACTAACCCTGTCTCCAGCTGATATTGGTGCATCCATCATTTCTATGACAGCATTCTGTTCATATGATGAATGTGCACTCTGGACAACCGTTGCCATCATCTGTTCATCAGAAAGTGCTGCCACCACACATAAAGATAATCACTTTTACACTTACAACACACTCTCTTTTTTAAAATATAAAGAAACTAAAAAGCACACAGAAAAATGAAACTTTTACTAATAATATTCAACGCAACAGTCTAGCTAATAGTGACAGGAAAATATAAGATTTATGATTTATTATCAAGTCTAGCTGACAGGTAAATATAAGATTTATGATTTATTATCAAGTCTAGCTGACAGGTAAATATAAGATTTATTATTTATTATCAAGTCTAGCTGACAGGAAAATATAAGATTTATTATTTATTATCAAGTCTAGCTGACAGGTAAATATAAGATTTATGATTTATTATCAAGTCTAGCTGACAGGAAAATATGACCACGAGTAGTCAAAATTAAACAATCATGTGTCAGCCCACTTTTTCTCCTGTGCTACCATATTTTACTGTTGTTGCAAATGTAGACTAAGAAATTGAAATCTTCTAAAACTTCACATGCCAGGTAAGCTTGAGAAAATTCAGGTGTTAAGTCTTTTCATGGCTTATGGCAGCACCTCATGACCGATTTAAAAGAAACATTTTTATATTTCACAGCTTAAAAAACAAAAATAAAACCAACAGAGAGCTAATAAGACTAGCAGGTCTAGCTGAAATCAGAACCAGGTTTGTACTGCATTTGAAATCACATTTGTGAAAAGAAAGCGTTCATAAAATTCTCACAGTAAAAAATAAAAATGTAAATACAAATCAGCTGGAGGTAGACTTGCAGACAATGGCGAAATTCTCACTTTTTGTTAGAAACCGCCATTGGCTGCTTATAGTTTGAAGCAAAGAACAATTTGTGTGAATGTTTCCGATCAATACTGAAAATCTGTTTTATTCCTAAAGAAGCAATAATCTACAGGAGTGTGTACTGTCTTCTTATTATTCTTCAGCATTCCTTGAGGTTCAGTGCTGCAGATATCACCGGCCTTCACTCATCTCTCTGGTTGGCCTTCTCTTTCCAATTGATGACACAAAGTGTTTGTAGGTCTGTCTGGATGTTATCTCTCTATCATCTTCTTGGTCTGCCTCATGGTCTACGACCATTCAGCTCCCTTGTGTACACAGTTTTTATCTCTCTGTCATCTGAAATTCTCTCAATATGCCCAAGCCATTTCGGTCTAATAGCCCTGATGATGCTAGTGATCAATGTTTTTCATTAGCTAGTTAGATATCAACTGGAATCAGTTTTATGTAGTAAATACTCAATAATGTGTGTATTTTCAGTGTTGCATTCACACCTGTCAATGCAAGCAGACTAATTTCTGAACATAAATTACTGAATGAAGAGTTCTTAAAATTAAGCCTTTTCTAACACAATTTTATCCAGACATTCTTTTCTTCACTCATTCACACATATTCATTTACTCCCTCACTAAGATACACTCTGTTACTTTAAGGCAACATTTCATTCACACAAAGAATATTTCAGCCAAGAAATATTTTTCTCTCAACATAACTGTTCTTGCATATATACATAAATAATAAGTTGTCACAGTGCCATATCTTATCAATCAATGACTCAGTAACGTAGCAGTACACTTCCTGCCTTCTATTAACTGACATGTGTTGGTTTGTTTGATGTTTGATTTTACTTCTAGTGAAGCTCCAGTTATAGCTGTAGTCTTTTTTTGTGTGTGTTCAGAGATTCTCCTACATATATTTTACAGAGGCATGTAATTTTTGAATGTAGGATTGTAGTCATCCATGCCTGCCCAGCTTGGGAGGGTGATGGGCCTAAGTCTTTCTTCTGACTACCCCTTGCTTTCCTGCTATGTTCTTCTTCCATGGTTTTGCTTGGAATTTCTGTCAACTTGATATTTCTTATTTCTCTGTTCTTGCCTCTTCTGCAGTTTCCTTGGTTTCTGGAGGACTCTTATACTTGATGTTAACTTTCTTCAATTGCTCCTACTTTCTTTGATATCTTTTAGTGCTACTGCAGTTTCCACTCTTATCTGACCATTTAGGCTACTTTTGCTAGTATTTGCTTTTAGGTTGTTAGGCTCTATTTCAGTATTTTCCTAATCTCCTCCCATGTCTGGGCTTTTTCTTCTGCTGTTTTCCCTGCTGTGAGAAATTTGAGCTCCATTTTTCAGTGACACGACCTAGTCTTGTAGTTGCATAGCCTCCAGAGAGGCAATGCCCTTGGGCGCCTCATCTCACCATCATACCTCCTAGATGGCCTGTTTTCTTTGATGGCGGTTTTAATATTTTCTTTACATTGTGAGAGAAAAGAGTATCCCAGGTATCTGGCCCTGTGTGAGCTGGAACAAATGGCACACTTTCTGTTGGCGTTTGGTCTCTGGAAATCACAGTCTCTCTTGACAAGCAGGAACTTTTTGAAAGGGTGAAGCTCTGAGCAATAAATTAAAATGTTGCTGTGGCGGGTAGCTAGAATATTCCATACCCTCTGGTACCAAGAGCAATGCAAAATGTTTGGGACCAAGCGATCTAGTTTCCGAGGCCTTTTGTCAAGTGCAAACCTGTCAGGCGGGGAGTCTCCATTAGTTCACTGCTATTGTTGAACATTTGTTTCTTGTCATCAGGTACTCTGCTTTCAAGATCTTGAGATCTGGGTCTTCAGGCTTGAACTGCCCTTACAAGTCTTTGTTGCTGAGCTTTTCCTTCACATGTCTCACTAACCATCATCTGACAAACTGCAACATGCTGGCTATGACTGTAATTTCTTAGGGAAACTGCAATTCCATCATGATTTGCTTCACCAGTGTGGCAGTCTTGTTCAGTGTAGTGACAAAACCATAGTATGTCTTTCTGATCTAGAACAACGGACCACTTCCTCAGCAGGTTCTCCAAAAAGCTGATAAAATAAATGTTAATAATGCTGCTATTCTGGCTTGTCCGATGCTAGGCTGCTGAAATTTAATTGTTGCTTGTAATGCAGTGTCGGCTGCTGGAGGTTTTGTCTCTGGTGATGGCTGCTCACTGTTTGTTCCACTGTGGAGATGACTGGGACTGTGCAAGCGTCTTCAATGGAAGCTGGTTCTCAGACTTTTTCTGCTGACTTGTCCATTGTGCTGATTTGTGTCACTTGTTGCTTGCCTCATTTTCTTCTTTTCAGCCAGGCATAGACTTGATGCTTGGCAGTATTCTTTGACCTAGCCATCTTCCACACTGATCGATTAATATATGGTAGTCTTGACTATCAGTTCTTTTAACGAGTTGCTGATGCAACCTCTGACATGTTTGTGAACTTGCAAGTTAAATGCCGCCACCCCCACCACTCACATTTATATTTCTCTGTCTGCTAACTTCAAATCTGACAAGATTACAAACACATAATCGTTTGTTTTCTCACTTTATATCTACAATGACTAAACAATAAATAATTTGTATAAAGGGACATTTTCAGTAAAATCACTTACCAACACTGTCCAACTTCATTAGTGCAGACATTGTCTTGTCTGGGACTCCATTGTAAGTTCCATCAGCAACACAACCAACCTGGCAGTTTTTTTGGAATCTGTCACATCTTTGTGCCCCAGATATATGCAGGAGATAAAGAATTGTATCTCTGCAGGAAAAGAGAAATAAACTATATCTAAATATATGAATGGAAAGGCAGAGAAAACTGGACAGAGAAGCTTGAAGATTAGTAAACTACTAATACAACAGAAGCGAGAAGAAAATACAATTTATCAGGAAAATTACTGGTTTCTAAACAGCATACAAAAAAAATGTACAGGAAAACATGCAATATTTTTTCATTAAAAATATGACTACTACTGTTAGCATATAACACTAGAAAATACTAAAGGAATCTATAATTTCTGGTGTGCACCACGAGGTGGGATTAACCTGGGTGCTCTATAGGTCATTGGCACTACTTAATTTAACTTTTCACCTCTTTGAAGAGAAGATAGTGAATCTTAATACTGCTGGCTGCAGTCCAAGTACATGAGCACATCCTTACATACTAGCTTTTCCTTAACTTCTGATTCCCTGGAATTAGTTTACTTGCCTAAGCAAGCTCTACTTTAGTGACCCTCATCATCATCATGTGCCTTGCCAAATGGCATAGGCGCTCATGCCTCTCCACAGATCACGATCCCTGGTTGCCTGGAACAGCTCTCTTGATGATATCCTTCCATGCCATCATTTAGCCCATCCAGCATGTTCTCTCTTGGTCTGCCTCTACCCCTTTTTCCACTGATCTTTCTAGTTGACACGATGTTCTCCAATGTCTCTCTTCTCATTATGTGGCCAAAGAACAGTGTTTGTCTCTTTCTTATTGTTGTATATAGAGATCTACTTTCATTAGCCTCTTTCAATCAATCGTTGTTAGTTACTCTGGCCGTCCAAGGTACTCAAAACATTCGTCTCAGAAACCACATCTCTGTTGCTTCCAAATTCTTCTTAATTTGTACAGTGACATTCCAAGATTCGCTGCCATACTGCAGAACAGGTTCTATGTAACATTTTAGCACCCTCTTTCTGACATTAAATGAGAGGGATTTTTTGCATAAGATATTTTTCATTTTCTGAAATGCAGCTTTCACTTGACCAATTCTGCTTTTAATCAGTTTATTATTATTCTGAGGTCTTTCCCGTCTTCACTGATGTCTTCCAACATTTTTATCATCTCTTCATGTTTAACATTGTCAAATGCTTTTGTATAATCTATAAAGCACAAATATAAGTCCTTTTGTATGTCCATTGATCTTTCCATCAGTGTTTGTAATATGTATATTGCATTATTTGCCCCTTTACCTTCCATAAATCCATACTGCTCTTAACTCATTTCCATTCTTATTTTTCTTTTTGTTCTTATCATTATAATTCTAAGTAGTAATTTGGTGACAGGATTTTTTGCCTCCATACACATATGCCTTATTTCTTTATTTATCTTGTCATATTCTTCTTTGTCATTCATACACTGCTTTCTATATTAGTGACACTGGTACCTGTAAATGTCTACACCTGCATTATTAACCTATAGCAGCAATCAACATTATAAAACAAAAGGGTGGTCAAGTCTGGAAACATTTTGATAATTGATAAATACATTGGCAAGCAATATTGAAACTAGCATAGTTTATGCAGAAGCTATGACTGGAGATAGTGGTTCTCTGGCTTAGAAGTTTGTAATTATATTTTATAATCTTTGACATACAAGAGCTCAATTTCAGAGGTAGGCAGTTTGGAACAAGTCCTTTCTAATTTCTCTGGACTCTGGTATAGCCCTTCATCATGAATTAGCAGACATTTTGTAAGTTTTGTCTTTCTGCATCACTGGATCATGTGTAGGTATTTTGTAAGTGTAATTTATCTTGTTGCATCACCGGAGGGCTACATTCACGACCATTTGTAGATATCTTGTAAGTGTAATTTGACTTGCTGCATCATTGGATACATATTCATGATCATCTGTAAATGCAAATTTCACTTGTCTTGCAGCATCTTTGGACTCAGATTCACAAAATTTACAGATTCCATGCAAATCCAAAATTGCTTTGGTGCATAAAGCTTGAAAATACATCTACAGTCTATGTAATATGTTGGACATTCAATAAAACAAATAATTAGGCAAACATTATGCATGCACATGCTCATGCATTTCATAAGTGTACGTAATGTATTTTAAATTTACAAAGACTGAACTATCTCTAACAGTGTCTTTTTCATAACTGCAAGTTGTAAACTGTATTGTGTTATTATCATCTATCTGTACAGTGACTTTTAATTCATAAGCAAGTTTGTTTGTAGTCACATTAAAACTTTTGTGTGGGTAAATATCAATCACTGAAAATAAAGTGGACAGAATACTTGTCTGGAATACTGAAATGTTTATAATCATTGGAGTTATTTGAGTTAACTATATCTTCTAGCCTATTCCAATGTACAATTAAAATAATAATTTAACAAAATCTAAGGGTAAGCAACAAACTGTTGCCTAGAAATGCCACTTCCAACCACTGTGAACATAGAACTGACTAACAGTGGATTAAATAGATCCTAACATAAAGTAAGGGAGTTCATAGGTATTTCACAGGAGTTCACAAACTATGATTATCATGATCACTGTCTCTTTCTTACAATTGCATAACATCTAATGTCATTAGCTTTCTCCAGGCAACAGTGGTACACACAACAGTTTAGGTAAACTATGTGAAATATAGATCAACTAATAAACTGATAGAAGTGATGTCATGACTGTCAGAGAAAATGTTCAGACTTTAACTGCTTGTAAAAATACCACAGAACTGCAGCGTGTAAGCTCATTGAAAAAAGGTACAGTCAAATACATAATAAAACAAACATATGCATAGTCAATAGAGATAAATTGTCAACATAAGTACACACATATGATACATACAATCAATATATGTATACTCTATCAACATAGGTATATAAAATCAACACAGACTATGAACACACCCACACACACATATACACAAACAATCAACACAGATATATACAATCAGTATATATATATATACATACACACACACACACACACACACACACACACACACACACACATACATTTACACAATTAAAACAGACATACACAATCAATTTAGACAGGATCAATCAACACATGCATAAGGACCCTCTTCCATGGCTTCAGATGTATTGTGTATATAGGGCTAGACCTATATTTTATAGACCACTTAGGGGTTATAGGGTCAACATCATGCTGGGTCGACCTGGGAGCCATATATATACATACATACATACACATACATATAAAGTCTTGCTCATCAAGCAACAGAGAAAACAGAGATAGAGACAAATAAAGAGAGATACAGTTAGAAAGACAGATGCAGAGATAGAAAGACAAACACAAAAAAGAAAGGAAAGAACAAAATGACATAAAACATACCCAAAAAATATGAGGGGAAAAGCCATGGTATAATTGAAAAGACCAATAAAATTATATTTGTCTACACAGAAGAGAAACACAAAGCTACTGAAAGGAACCTACCTACTCATAATTTTGAGATTCTGCATCTTTGTAATGCAATAAGTGAAATTACTAAAATTTCACACAAGAATTCCTTAGAGTTCCATCAATCAATTGACATGGATCTTTGGGCTCACTATAATTTTTAAGCGTACAGCATTTCCCGTTAGTTTGGTATATGGCCTAATCTTGTGTGGATCAGTGACTGGCATCTCCTGGGCATGGATGCGATCAGATGTCTGATGCCGACCTGTGGGATGGCTGCCCACTCTTCCTGGAGTCCTTGAACAGATCATGACCACTGGCTGGAGTAACACACCAGCGACAAACACATCTTTGCAGCTCAATTCGCAGATGTTCAATCGGACTCATGTCTGCAGTCAGGGATGGCCAGGGAAGGTTTGAATGATACTGGCAGCCAGGAACTGCAGGGTCAACCATGCAGGATGGGGTCTGGCATTGTCATGTTGAAAAAGATATCTATTTGTATCCTAAAATGGAAGGACCTGTGGTCGAAGAATTTCACTGATGTATTGTTGCACATTCAAGCTTCCTCTGATATGCACTAACTCCTGCCCCTGTGAAGCAGAGCTTCATTAACACAATTTTGGGCTAAACCTTCATTTCACCTATGGCAGACCCAACGCTGTCTATCTTGACGCTGCCACAAAAAGAAAGATTTGTCACTGAACCAGACACGTCTCCATTGATTGTCATCTACCCAGGGACAATGTTGGTTTGCCGAAAGAAGTCGATTTTGGCATTGGTGACCCATAAGGACAGGTCCTCGGTGTGGTCGTGTTGCCCATAGTCCAACGTTATGCTGTCTGTTCTAGACAGTTTGATCAGACACATGACATCCTGGAGGCATGCCTGTGCAGTTGAAGAAGCTGTTGTAAACCTGTCTCTGAGGTGATAAAGCCAAATAAAGCAATTATCGCCTGCTGTTGTCACTTTGGGTCATCCACTTCAACGTTGGTCTTCAACTGAGCCAGTGGCTTGGAACTGTTGCCAAAGTCAACTGATCGTACTCTGATGCACGTTTAGATGCTTGGTAACCTGACTTTGACTTTCTCCTGCCTGCAATCGGCCAACAGCAATATTCCTTAAATTTATGGACAAAGAGCCCATCCATGACATGTGCAGCCATGTGGTTGCATTTTGATAGCTCACCATGTGCTCACTGTCACTGGAAAGACGATATTCCGGACAACATGCACATATAAAATGGTTTGGGTTTTCAGCACATAACTTGCTACACATGTTCATGTAAAAACAATGTCAGCCAGTTTTGAAGTCTGAGTGAAGACGGTAAACAGACTTAGGAAGCCAACTATCATGATAGTACATGTGAGGGAAGGCAAGATATGTAAGACATCGGTGTGAGACATAAGACCTTCAGACTGGACTGGAGTGAATGTGGAATATGAGGTAGATAGAAGAAATATATTTTATTATTATATGCTTGCTTAGTGTAAGTATAGATATTACACATATGTGTTTGTTTCAATTATTACAGTTCTCATCGGGGTGAAGACCAGTCAGTTCTGATAGCAACAGAGGGTCCACGTGCACGAACCTACATTGTGTGGGAGATCGGCAAGCTGGGAACAAGCTGGGGAACACGCTTGGAACAAGCTGAGGAATGAGCTGCGAAGCTGGGAAGAGGAGCAGGAAAAGCTTGACAGCGCCTAACGCCTGTCAGAGGTTACCACTAAGTTACGTCCTGATTGTATGCATAAACTTATCATCATCATAACTTCTCTAATCCCAGATGCTCAGTTTTCTAGCTGAAGCATCTCATCACTATCATACCATCAGCCAGTCACTGTTTGTGTAAACATTGTAAACTGAGGAATGTCATCTAAATAATTGTTAGTAAATAAAGCTGTATGTCAAGCTTTATACTACATCGTTTTTTAAATTCCAAGTGTATTTAGTCTTACATGCTTCACTAAACTGTTAGACAGAATTGCATCTGGTGGGATCTCTTTAAAAATTCTTTACCAGGAGGAGGGTGTCAGGAGGGGTCACCTGCCCTGTCTAACAATTCATTACTTAAAGTAATCTAGACATCTAAAACCCCTTTCCTTCTCCTGTGGGTACCAAGTGCAGCTGTTGTGTATTTACAGGATGAGCCAAAGATGGCTGTTTTCTTGGATATCTGTGTATCTGGTGGAGGTGAAGTGTTGAGTTAAACTAATACTCATCACAAAATCATCTACCCATGAGGAGACCCGCGACAGTGAAGGAAATCAGTGACCCCACCTGGAAGTGATGCTATTTTATAATCATCAGTGTTAATCATCATTTAACAAACCTAAACACTGAATATAATGCTAATTCAAAAGCTGCAAGATGCACCTGACGGAAAACACCCTTCTAGATTAGGTAGCTGAAAAGCCCAAGCAATAATAATGTAAATGAAAAAATATACCAACCGACAGTTATTTCGCCTTTTGAATAATGACCCACTGAAAAAAAAAAGTAACGGTAGTTCACAAAATCTCAGACCATACATTTTAACACATGGGCAATTGATCTGTATTATATTAATTTATTTTTATGCGGAACATTATGTGGATTTCAATTACAAGACCCTTGTCAATGTTTAAATACTGAAATTATTTTAATATAATGCCAACTTCTTACAAATCAATGGGGCACCTACAGCATTTCAATCTCTTTTATTTGTTTACATACATCCAGATTTGCTATTTTTATATCACAACACACAGACATGCATAACATGACAAGAAATGACACATATTTCCTTTGAAAAACACCCCAATAACATTAGATGGGAAAGTAGCTAACAAGTTACCAACAATAAAATGTGCTCTATACATACATAACTATTACACAGATAATCTACACATCAAGTAGACTGAAAACATCGAAGTAAACAGTCAATTATAAGCAGTGATAATATATGGCTGTCCACATCAGTTAGAACATAACTATAAACATAATGCTGCACAACCATAATGAGCACTCTCCATCTACTGATGACACAGTGAAGTAAATGTTACAGAACATATTTCACTACCACAATCAGGCTTAGATTATAGAGAAATGGAAACAGTTCTAAAAATAGTCTACAAAACTAAAGCTGCTGATTCGATGTTACTGTAAATATGTGTGCTGATTGCATCAGTCAATAACCACAAAGCTATTAATATATGGTTTTGTAAACGTTATAAGGAGACAAGCCACAGAATACTTTTTCTTTTAGATACCATTCTTGGACACTGGAGAAAGTTGTGTGAGGTCAAAACCCTTCTATTACTTAGTGTGATATATAAGACATATATTATGTGCACACCATGAGCACAGTTAACTATGATGATTATGATGGTAAGTATTAGCCAGGGACAAGCATACAATTCCTACTGGGTACAGTGAGCATGGATACACTAAGATGGCTGCTGTGTTGATAGATGGAGTGCCAATGGGTTGAGGATTGATGTACCAGGGTGTTCTATAGACACCGGTCATGGCAGTGAGTCAACTGGAGTTACACAAATCAGCAGTATGAACAAGTGGGATTTGTCAATCATGGTACAGAGCAGGAAAAGCACAGCAAGTTTTATCATAAAAGAACTAGGAAACAAATGTTGTGTACAATTTCATATTTCAGAGTTGTGTATTTGCATCAGTTACATATAAAATCGTTTTTAAATTCTTAAAAGTTTATTCATGAGCCCAAAATACTCAAGTCATAGTAGTGACAGTATAAAAGTTACAATTCTTTCTTATCAATACAAGGGTCAGGGTTCAATTGCAAGCAGTGGTGAGATATCTGTTTCAACCAGTATCAGGCTAATAATGTTAACCCACTTCCCCAGAATGAGACCTGGATATTAAGCAGGATCTTCTGTAGACTGTCCAGGGAAAAAAAAGAATGTTGAAGAAGAGAGCCATCACTAGAAGTTATAATGTAGTGGCCTTATATATGTGAATGTCAAGGCTATAGAGCACTTTTAATCTGTCTTCAGATTGTCTGCATATTTTCAAATACTTGAGTTCTAAAAATAGTGAATGTAATGTTTTGTTTCTGTTGGAATATACTGCAGTGATTTATTACTGACTCCACCTGCGCCAGTTCTATTTTCAGATACATAATAATAACAGCCCACCTAGCAAATTATTCCTAGCTTATGAGAGATATCAGTGCCATAAATGTATATGTGTACGTACAGGTAGGATGAATATGTTTTGTGCAAATGAACCCAATAGCTTATTACAGTGTTATCCTTTCCTCCCTCTTTCCCATCTCACTCATTCCTCAAACTCCATGGTACGAATAACAGACTGTTAACTGATAGTTTACAGGATAACCTGTGGCCACATAACTTACCATTAGGCAAAAATAATAAGGAATTCCACAAAATCTGCCCTGAACACTAATACTGATGTCATTTTTCACTTTAAAAGATACTGTCTTAATCTGAGCTATCAACTTAATGAAATATTCATGCTTACCTGTTTTTGCCCTTGGAGGTAGATGCTAAATGCCGAGGGGACTGCCCATCTCCTGTTAACTGATTGACATCAGCACCAAACACAACAAACTGTCGGACAAGCTCCAAATCATCTGCCTTAAAACAATATCAAATTACATATACATATATACACGCTTACACACATATATGTATGCATATATAAGTATATAGATATGTGTTTGTGTGTGTGTATATATGGAACAACTCACGAAGTTAGGCCCAGAAAGACAGTGACTTTCCTTGTTATTCATCCCTGGTCGTGTTGTAGGGCTGTTCTATGTTGCAGGGTTGTTATGCTTAGTGAGTGTCCAGCAACACAACATAATTTTACGTGTTGCTGTCATAGGCTGTCGGCTTCTGTGGCTTAGGGATTGCGAACGTGCTTTACAATGCCGGAATGCCGGATTCGATCCCAGGAGCGGATGATCTGTCTTGTATTGGTTCCGACAGTGGTACTGACAGCTGACCGTTTAGAGAGCAATGGTAAACAACTGAATATAAAATGTGCCTAGAAAAACCACAACAGCCAAAAAATGCTAGGATTAGTTCTGCAACATCCTGTAAGGATATGCAACTAACTTTTTAACTTTCTTTTTTCATAGGCTGCATGTAGTCATGGGACATAGGCTACACTCTTTCAGGGGGACGTGTCATAGGAGGGTTTGGGTTAGGGCCAGTTCTACATATTTTGGGACTGTTAAAAGCCCTCACATTGTGGAATATGGAACACACGATATCGCTGGCCACTGCCAACGTGTAAAATTCATTGTGTTGCTTGATGCTCACTAAGTGTAACGCCCCCGCCAACATAGGACAGGCCTAACCAGGGATGAATGGCAAGGGAAGTCACTCGTTTTCTAGGCCTGAGCTGTAACACGCGCGCGCGTGCGTGCGTGTGTGTGTGTGCGCGCGCGCAAATGTGTGTGTGTGTGTTTTTGTATACCGGCATACCCTGAAGAAAAGTTGAGTTGGGTCAAGAACTGACATCACAGCACTTGAAGCATTCCCATGTGTGCTCCATCCTCATCCTAAGCAGCCAGCTCAGAATACCAATACTGATGGTACTGGTCGCAATGTGGTTATATGTCCATCTTGCCTTTCCTCTGAGTGTAGTGAGCCGGCCAGACCCTCTGGTTACACCCAGGTGCCTTAATCTCTCCAGCCCATAATAATCTTGTTTCTTTACTGATTCCGTTGCTTGTTCCCAAAGGGCCTTGACCACATCTAACTTGTCATGTATTAATTCACCACCCAGTGATGCAGATCCAGCCGATCTGTCTGCCTGTTCATCACCCATCATGCCGGCATAGCCCAGAGAAAAGACCCAAAGTATGCTCACTACCCGTGACCTTCCCAGTGAAGCTTGCCACTCTGCTCAAAGCATCCCTGTCTTCACCTTTCTCAGCATGCTTTCAGAGTTTGTTACAATTAAGACATGTGTGTGCATCTTAATCTTGTTCTATAGCCTCCGTAGAGCTGCAGTGACCACCTCCACCTCCATTCTCATGCTAGATGTTGTGATGTCGTATACAACGCTGTCTTGCACTACAGATTTTCCATTGGCTTTCGCTACAAACCCCCAGAAAAAGATCCACAATTTTCCTAAAGAAAAGATCAAAAGGACCTCTGAAGCAAAGCTTGCATCTCTGAATGGAGCATGTCTTTCTCCACCTTTCTCAGCACGCGTTGTGAGTCTGTTACAATCAGAACATGTGTGTACAGCTGGTTCTGAAGCCAGTGAAAAGCTGCAGTGACTGCTTCCACCTCCATTCTCAAATTCTCTTCTTCTGCTTCAGCATTCCCAACCCTGGAGGTTCATTGCTGCAGATATCACTTACCTCCATTTATCTCTCTGGCTGGCCTTCTCTTTCCAATTGCTGACACCAGGTGTTTGCAGGTCTGTTTGGACATTACCTCTCTATCGTCTTTTTGGTCTGCCTTGTGGTCTACAATCATTGAGCTTCCTTGTGTACACAGTTTTTACCTCTCTGTCACCTGACATTCTCTCAATATGCCCAAGCCATTCAGTCTATTACCTCTCCCAATGCTAGTGATCACATGATGATTTGAACAGATGGAACAGATTATGAATTTTGTTGTGTCTTCTTACTCTCCATTTCCCGTCTTTTGCATCTCTGATGGGTCCAAAGATTCATCTAATGCTCTGTTTGTGAAAACCTGTAATAAGGCTTCATCTCTTTCAGTTGTGCTCCAAGTTTCAGAACCATATAAAACGACTGATTACAAGATAAAGACTTTGACTTTAGCAAATGTTTAGGGGCATAGTACATTTTATTTCCAGGTTGTATTCTAGATTGTATTTCTTCTCTCCTTTTGATTTTCATATTATCGACTTGCATGTGGCAGGAGTTTAAATTCTTTCCATGTCTTGTTATTATTATGTATTCTGTTTTATCTTGACTGATGATAACTGTTCTCATTTTGTGAGCTCATTCTTTTAAGAGAATCAGTGTTTGTACAGTCTCTAGTTCATTTTCTCCAATAGTATCAACGTCATCTGCAAAACTAAGTATTCTTCAATTCTCAAAAACAACATTAATATAAAATATTATGATAAAAGACCAAATAGAAGCACTCAAGATAATAGCAAACCTCCATCAAATACCCTCAATAGACTTTGATCACATTCCACATTACATAAAGTAAGGAAAGGTAGCTGATGGTAGAAAAATGGTCTTTAAAGATTTTCAGGTTGAAATTATAAGAGTTTTAAAACAACCTACTAACATTAACGTATAAAGATTTTCAAAAGTAGCAAGACCAAAGTATGTGAACGTCGCTCAGTATCATAAAAGTCATACAATGACAGCTGTAACTGAGAATCATTAAAAAAGAATAATAAATTGAACTGGAAAATGTGAAAAGATGTGACCCTCAGTAAAGATTACATAATTTGAAGCAGATCTGTATTTACCCTTCACAGAAAAAAAAAAAGGCAACAACACAACTGGACATTTCTTCTTTGCATTCACTGGCTGTGAACTCCAGTTGAAAGTATTGATTGTTCGTCCATTTGGATTCAGCTCTGTGCCAGAACCTGAGTTTTGGTGTACATCCATTTTACCTTCTTATTTTTAATCAGTTTGTTGTCCCTTGCCCATCAGGCAAATGTACTCTGACTTCGAAGAATAACCCAGCCAGCTCGGTTTAGGTCGATATGACCTATTATCCGTAGTGCACAAATAGGATGTATGGCAGGAGTCTTGTAAGAGGATCCACGAAACCAACACAGAAAAAGCTAGCACATCACAATCGTCTTAACTCTTTTTTGAGTTCTGAGGAACGCATCACACACTAATTGGTTACCATCCAGCCGCACAAACAGTGCATGATGAGCACAGGTTTTTCAGTTACCACTGACAAGTGTAAAAACACAACCTGCACAACTGAAACTTCCTCTCTCATCGCAACCATGTGAAGTAATAATTCTCGTCGCTCATGACGTGGAGAAGGATCAATCCGTCTCTCAATGACATTCTCTGGTGTTAACCTTAGCCTGTAGACTATATACAAGTTGTCAATCACTGCTCGACTTCTTGTGCGAAGTAACTCGTTGTAAACCATATAACATGATTTTACCTGATGCACAGGTGTACGACATATATGCAGATGACATAACGATACTGCTGGACTACACAGGCAGTTGAATGAACAGTCAGTCTGACTATTGCCTGCACACTTGTTGGATTCTCCGGCATCCCATTCAGACAAATATTTTCTGAGAAAACAGATTCTTTATTAACGATCAAGTGGCTGCAGTGCCAAAACTGTTCACTTAACGGACTGAGTAGCAGTGACATGCAGAATTCTAGTCCCTAACTACCACAGTTGGGCAATAATATGGCTCAAGCTTGCAGTGAAGCGGTCAAACTATTAAGTTTGAACAGGCACAGACAACGTGTTGTATTATACTTATTGACACTATACGTCAAGAAGGATTGATTTAGGAGTGATTTATCTATGTTTCTCACATCTGGACTCCCCAACAACAAACTTACTTACTTACTTACTTAGTCGCTCCTCTTCTACCTTGGGGTGTAGAGGTTTGCCAGAGAGATCGCCAGACGTCTCTATCAGCAGTTTTCTTTCTGGCTTTGTTCCATTCCACTCCTCTGTCAGTCAGGGACTGTCGGATGTTGTCTTCCCAGCGCACCCTGGGTCGTCCCGGAGGTCTGGTTCCCTGGTTCTTAGCCTCCCATGCTTGCCATGGTGGCCGATTTTCTCCCATTCTGCACACATGTCCAAACCATCGTAACTGTGACTGATCCACTCGGGTTAGTAAGGGCTGGGTATCAAGATCTTGACGTATTGTCTGATTGCGGACTTTGTCCCTTCTTGTCACTTGGACCACCTTTCTCAGGTATCTCATTTCCGAGGCCTGCAGCTGGCTTCTGTGAGCTGTTGTCATTGCCAATGACTCACACCCATAGGTCAGGACTGGTACATAGGTAGAGCGGTAAACAGCCATTTTCGTCCTCTTGCCAATGTCTCTTTTGCTAAGAAACCCTCGGTTTATGGCCTGGAAGAGTCTCCCAGCAGCTGCTTTTCGTGTAGCCAGCTCAGTCTTAATGCCTCCATTTTGGTCTAATACAACTCCAAGGTATTTGAACTGGTTAACCTGCTCCAACGCATACTGACCCATCATGATCTGGTGTTTCTTCTCCTCTCTTGAGATCACCATGGTTTTAGTTTTGGAGACACTGATGGTCATCCCTTTCTTTTCGAGCTCTTCCTTCCAGACAAGTAAGTTGGACTGAAGGTGTGCCTCTGATTTAGCTATCAGGGCCACATCGTCTGCAAAAGCCAGCTCTGATATACAGATTGGTCTCATCTTCCAGTACCCTACAGAGTACTTCTTTGTCTTCTCCTTACAGGTCTTGATGACATCATCCATCATAAGAATGAAGAGGTAAGGTGAGAGAATATCACCTTGTCTAACACCGCTGGTGGTCTTAAATTCTTCTGACTTTTGGTCTGCTGTTCTTACATAATTTCTGCACTTTTTGTAGAAACTCTGTATTGCACTGATCAGGGGTGCTGGGATGTTTTTCCCTGCCAAGCAGTCCCAGAGCTTGTTCCAGGGTACCTTGTCAAATGCCTTTTCCAGATCCAAAAAACATAAGTGAATCTCACTCTTATATTCCAGGGCTTTTTCACTCATCTGTCTCAGTGTGAAGATAAGCCCAACAACAAAAGAACTATATATCTACAAACGGACTACCCGATATATAGATACACCAATTAGTGAGGGGGTGTCCAGACTGTGGGCAAGTCTATTGTGGTAGAGGAGTTGATGCTGTTATATGGCAATGATGCATTAAAAAATGTATCTGAAACAAGATCTAATATACAGATTGAATTTATATTTTACTTATACATTACTAAGTGGTTCATGTTCATTTGTGATTCATTTTGGATATAATTTATTGAGTTTTAATCAGTTACACTTGTAAATTAAAAAATGGCATTACCACTCCTTCGGCCTCTGATGCTAAATACACTGGGACTCAAAGAGTTAAATTCACTTCATACCTGTGACCCAAACCGCTACTTAATGAACACAATAAACAATTAATTTGCAGAAAATTACTTGTATAGTCTGTGGTTATGAAAAACAAAAACAAAAAGGTATCAGCTTAAAAACTGAGAGTTCACGAGTAACGCATGTATAAGAGAAATAATTGAAGATCATACACACATTTAAAGTTTTTAAGAGCAAACATGTAAGAGAAATACAACATGAAACTTCAAAGGACAATATGATGTAGAATGGATATGGCTTATCGAACAACACTCTGAAAACACAAGGCAGAAAATGTTAAGACTCCTTACAGTTGACCTTCAAAACACTAGATGATGATAGTACAATATGTGTATTTCTTTAAACTATTCTGTCCACAACAACACATCATGTGTGACAAGCTACTGCCCATGTGGACCATTCTTATACTACCCTGCCAGTTATTTTAACAAGAAACCCAGAAGATGTTTTATACATAGTATATAAATCCTGCAAGTATGAAAGTAATTTGCTTGTTATTTATTTATTCGTCATCGTCGGCTCTGTGGCTAAGTCGATGCGAACGCTTTGAAATGCCGGGGTACCAGGTTCAATCCCAGCTGCGGGCCATACGCCTTGCGTTGGTTTCGACAGTGGTATCAGGGGGCCGACTGTCCAGAAAGCAATGGCAAACTACTGGACATAAATTTGCCTAGTGAAACCACACAACAGCCAGGGGCTGCTGGGGTTGGTTCTGCAACGTCCTGTAAAGGATATGCAACTAACCTATGGAAACATTTACTTCACGGAAATAATTATTGGTTACCTCTATTTTTCTAAAAACATACACTCTGAACTTCTGTTCCAATATTACCATTATAGCTTTATGAAGCACTGTCTGGCCAGAGGAATCCATGACATTGCAGTCTGCTCCATGACATAACAAAGCCAACTGGCATTCAGATCTTTTCTTTGCCATCATCACATGTAGGGGAGCATTGCCTTCCTTGTTGAGGATGTTTAGATTGCAGCCAAGCAGAGACAGCTTTTGTATACACTAATGAAAGAAACAATCCACATACAAGAATAAACAAAGCAACATGGGAATCACCAAACCATAAGACAACCAATCAAGATGATTATAACTGTATAAACAAACAAAATTTACATCATCACTGTGTGATGTTTAGGTGTGATGTTGACTACATCAAACACTGACTGCCCACTATAAAATATACTTCTAGCAATATATGCCCAAAACACCCGAATGCACTGAAAGGGTACTTTACTTTTATTGTATGATGTTAGTTTACTGACCATTATTGTGGTAAGTACAATCCAGCTGAAACTCAAAGATATATAACCTCTCACAATCGTAGAAACCAATATAATGTAGGATATCTTCGGTATTTAAAAAAAGTTAAGAAGAAATTTATCAAATAAGCAGCAGGTCCTGCACAGTTAACAGAGGTGGTAAGCACTGAAGTCTACTAGAAAGAGATTAAAGTGAATAGTGATTAGTAAGGACTATCATCACAGCACTCAGGACAGATCCATAGAAGCTCCACAAGCGCAAAAAGACTGATGATATCTGTTCTATGTTGATTAATGAAATGTCTTGTTCCCTTAGCGAAATGTTCATTTCTTGCAGCTCCAGGTTGTACCCCTATGTCCATCAGTTCAGACATTGTTACAGAGTCATGCCCTTTTGCATGCTTGTTATCAGGGTAAGTAATGCGCATGGCACTGATAACACTGCTTCTGCTCAATACTGGACCAGCCATAGCAACCGCAGTGTCTGCAAGATAATCCGCATGCTTCCTTGAACACCCACATGACCTGGCATAAAGATGAAGGTTAGGGCAGCCATTCACGAAGTGCTTAGTGTTGCAATTCATTCTTGTCAGATGAAAGCAGCTTGAATTTTTCTAAGCCTGTTTATCGAGTCACTAAGTATGCACGCACGTGTGAACTCTTGAGTGCCCAGGCAAGCTAATGACCTTGTTAAAGCCACAGCTTCCTTTGTAAGGCTGCTAGCTGTAACAGCGAAGGCGCCATGTCCTTGATGGTTTCCCCCCTTTGAGCTTACTGTGAATGCCCATGCACTTCGCTTGCTCTAAATTACAGATCCATCTGCGTAAATTAAAGCAGTCACCTTCAAGTGGAAAAGAGATTAACAATATCTGGAATAAATCCTACATAAAATCCTTGGTAAAAGGAATGGAAACATAAGATGTTGATAACTCCTGAAGCCCTTACAAATTTGAAGAAAAGGCAAAAAAGTAGACTATTAATAACAAAACTAGATCCGCTAAAGTTATAGAGCTCACAAAAAAGGGATTACTTTGGAAAGACTAAAAGATGCCACTGATAAACAGCTAAGGGATGAATAGACAGGCTTTTGTCCAAACAAATTCCTCTACTGACCAGATAGCCACACTTTGCATAATAATAAAGTAAAGCATTTAACTGAATTCATCACTCTATTTTATATTTATAGACTATCAAAAATCCTCCGAAAGATCAGTAAGAGAATCTCTCTGGAAATTGGTTAGGCACTGTAGGACCCCACAGAAAATTATTAATATGGTAAAGGCAACGTAAAAAGACATGAAACATAGCGTTCTTCATAAGGGAAAGCTAATAAATAATCTGAAATAAGATCCCGTGTGTGACAGGAATGTTTTTGTCAACTCGACTATTTTTACTGGTAACTGACTGGATTATAAATGCAGCAACTGCTACAACCTGGAAGGGAATTCAGGGAAAACAGCTAGATCATCTGGATGATGCTCATGACATTTCTCTTCTGTCCCACTCACAAAATTAAATGTAAGATAAATTATATATACTTCATGAGAGATCATGACTATTATGTCTAAAAATCAATTAGAGAAAGACAATGATAATGAGAATAAACCAGGTAAGCAGTAATATAATTCCTCTTGGTTAAATACCACTTCAAGATCTATTTGGGCAGTAACGTAGACAAAGTTGGCAGAACTCATAGAGATATTAAAATATGAGTACAAACGGCAAAAGTAGTTTTCATAGCATCAGACAATTTTTAGAAGTTAAAGGTAATTAGAACTAATATTAAAACAAACAGTTTTAACCCTATGTCAAACCAGTACAGCTGTGGAGAGTGGAAATATGAAAACAACTACAAAAACCCTGCAAACATTCATTATCTGGTGCCCATGCAGAACAGAGAGAATTAAATGCTATAAGAGAATCACTAATGTGGAGCTTTTAACATTTCTATGAATCAGGTGGTAAAGAAAAGACATGAGCATTGGATAGGACACATTTTTAGAAAACCTAAGAACAGTATAAATAGAAGGGCTTTAGATCCCCTTCCCCCCCCCCCCCCACCAGGGGCACAGAAAGCAAACAAAATACATGTGGCATAGTGAACTAGAGAGCAAAGTTAAAAAGCGAGCGAGGAGATGGGGTGAGCTGCATGCGTAGGACAGGACGACCTGGCTGAGTTGGTTAAGGAACTATGTTCCACTGGGGAATAAGGGACAGAAGAAGAAGAGGAAAAGGGAAATATAATTATGCAACAACTATATCAGTCAAGCTTATCTCTATGAAATCTTATGTGGTTGTTTTCTCCGATACAACAGGAAATATAGATTCGGCTAAGTCATGGTGTGTAGATTAAATACAGTTTACCTCTAGCGTATTTCATTTTGACAATGGTAAAATAATAACACAATGTCTGTCATTCATGTGCAAAAAGATAAATAAACACAAGTGTAAACAGACATAAACAGTGGTTCAATGTTTGATCAGAAGCTTATAGAATAGACTGACCATGTTTGACAATACTATCCACAAGAACACCTGTAACATTGTAACAATACTTTTTTCTTCTTTCTATTCTGCAAATAGGTGCCAAGTTTTCATTATGCCCAGAATACTTGGTGTTCCTAGTGTTTAGTTTTTGTTTTGTTAAGTTTCTTACATTCTTTCCTTGATGTTGTTATGGTTATGTTATGTTATCACAATCGACGTCACTGCACACTGGGCATTCCCATGCATGTTCAGTCCTCCAATGCAGCAGCCACTCCAAAGTGCTTCTACTAATTGTTCCCATGAAAAGCTGGTTATATTGTCTCCTATCTCGACCTCAAAGGTGGCACAGATGTGATCCATAATGCTTTACTACCATGTCACACAATTGTGTTAGTGTCAGGGATTCCAAATTATCCATTAGCCCAGTTCGTACAGCGTTGACAATATCTGGTCTGTCCATGCTTCTTACCACATGCCTTAGTGCATTGCTTGCCAGTTGGTCCGCTCGCTCATTACCCTTTATGCCCGCATGACCAGGTGTGTAGATCTAGGTAAGGGAGGTTAAGTGTGATTTTCAAATGCTTTCTACCCATTCAAAGCATATACCGCCTGTTGCTAGCTTCTGAAGCATGTTAATGGAGCCTGATACAAATACTGCCTGTGTGGCCATTTGTTCGGATACCCATGCTAATGCTCTAGAAGCAGAGGCTATCTCTATGGTCAAGCTTTATGTGGTTGTCTGGTAAGCGCTGCTGTCCTCTTGTATTGTTTCCCCTTTCTTTGCAATGTGTATGCCCATGCTGACCTTGATCAGGGCTTCACGGATCCATCTGTGTAGATGATATCTTCTGGGTTTGAATGCTGATCTATCAGTGCCCTTACCTCTGTGTCTACGGCTGCAAGAATTTGATCCTTACAGTACCTTCAGAGTGTGATGACATGCATCAATCATGACATTTCTTTTTTGGTTTTAAGATATATATGATCTTTTGGCTGTCAATAGCAATAGTCACATATACTTCTAAATAACTATATTTTACTCATAAACTTGCAAAGAGCCAAATAACAGAATACAACACAAATAGTAAAGTAAATACAAAGTGATTAAACCATATAAGTCCTCAGAAATGAAAGACATACCTCCGTATTTTCAGCCCAATGCACAGGCGTGCCGCCATACTTGAAGTCTCTTGCATTAGCCTGCTCTGGAAATTCCTTTATGATGGCTTCAACTGACCTGTCAAAGCCATAATTATTGATGACATAAAAACAAGCATTCACAAGAAATCTCTGACACAACAAAACTTGCCAAGTCAACAGTAACAGAAACCTAAAAGTTTTAACTTTAACAACAGTAGTATTGTTTGTTTTTACTGATCCAGTAGCACGTGATGTCCTACCTTTCAGCCAGTTGATCTGCAATGATGCATGCAAGTTACATTGTGTTTTTGTCAATATTGAGAAACTGCATTGCAAATGTGAAAAATGAAGGGTATATTTAATAATTGACTTGTTCTCCCAGATAAACTCAGCCTAAAATTAATCTAAGTAAATGTTCTGGAAAGTAGAGGCAGCTGGCCTGCAACTGAACACATGACCCATCCAGTGTAGAGTAACACATAGGACTAACACCAGTATAGCTGTAGTAGAGCAATGGTGTCAACGCACTGTTGACAAATAGTTTCGTTTAAATGACATCAATGTTTTTCTTATTTACCAGGTCTCTGTGCTGAACTCAGTCAAAATGCTTTTCTCAAATTGAAGTGACTGATAGTAAAGGCTGTGCTGAATACTTTCTGTACTTCAAGTTTTTACTCTAAAATGTATAGACAAATTCTAGTATTTATTTAATTATTCATGTACTGTACTAATAATGTATTTCACAGTCTGGAAACAGATCTATGTGATTAATTTACCTGCTGCTAATCACAGCATCTCGTCACAGCTCTAGAAATAAGAAAACAACAAGAGATTTGATGCACTGACATTTCCAGTATATACTAAGTAGACAAAACAAAGCAAGTTAGTATTGTGTAAATTGAACTCTTCCAGCAAACATCACTAGTTAATCTAGTGAGATGACTCTAGCATCTACAACTAAAAAATGTCACCATTAAACAATTTTCACAAAGAAGACAAACCTCATATCACAGGACTTCACAGCAGCATGGATTGGGAGGCAGTCGGCAGTGCCAATACGTGGATCTGCCCCAGCTACAATCAATATTTCTGTGGCATCTGACAGCTTGAGCTGACAAGCAATCAACAGTGCAGACTCTCCCTTCCCATTCAACCAATTAATGACACCAGCCTTGTCATAATCAACCAATAACTGATGAAGACAGACAATTAAATGCACTGTCAAACAAAATCAGTTGTACAATATTCACAGACTATCTTTAGAAGCAGCAAAAGTGTAGTTGTTTGTATACATGCAAACTGGCCTTGTGGTCCTAGCTCCAAACCTCCTTGAAAATTATTATATACAGCCTCACAATATATGATCCATGTAAATAAATGTAGAGGGGGAGGGTGGGATGTTCAAATCTGTGTGAAAGTATAACTCTTGTAGGTGAAAATTGTAGAAATATCTGTCCATTTTCTGTTTACTTAGTTTTCTTGTTTTTAATTAATTAGTTTAATGTTCAATTAAGAAGTGACATCACAGCACCTGGGACATTCCCATAAGCACTACGTCCCCATCTTCAGCAGCAAAGAGCAGAGTTCCAATTCCAATGGTACTAATAGTAGTCTGATTGTATATCCATCTCACCTTTCCCCTGAGTGCTGATATCAACCAGATCCCCTGGTCACTCTTCACAGTGCCATTCTTTCATACCATAATGATCCATCTGTGCTTCCCCTCTTCACTAGCCCCCAAAAGGCCCTTACAACATCTAGCTTATCATGCATCAATTCACCACCAGGTTTTGGAGACAGCCAGTCAATTTGCCTGTTCATTTCCGAATATGGGGAAAATATCCAAAGGACGCTAACTACCCGGGACCTCTTAATTAGTCAGTTATAAAAATAAGCTAGTAACATCAAACTTGAATTTTTTTTTTAATTTTTAAATTAAATGACAATACTGTGTCCAGATTTCTCAATTACTTGTGTAGCCAACACATATTTTTGAACATAATATCTAACTAAACACAAAATATTCAGTGGCAGGGAACATGTCTGTACAAGTGTATTCACTTTTACTTAGTTAAATCTGTGCCATTTTTTTCTGGTCTGATAAATTATTTTGGCCACTGTCATGATCGGGGTAGGGGTGGCGACAGGATAAGTGTGGGACTGCTTAAAAAGCACTTAACATGTGATAGTCATGGTGTGCTCGCAAACCACAGAAGCTAAGTGAACTATCTGAAGTAAGGGAAGTGAGCTCAAGTCATGAGCCAGCTGAGGACAGTCGTCGACCAAACGCCTTAGCCAACGGTTGGGACAACTGCAGTGAGGCCATACCACATGGGTGTAGAATAGTAGTGGTAGTTATAGTGATAGTTTAGCTAGTAGTGGTGAGGACATTTGTGTAAGTGTATAAACTGTGATGACTATAACAGAACTATATGATGTGGAAAGAACTATGTTGCTGTTTCTTATTCTTTACTTGAAAGTGTCCTGAGATAGCCTGTTGTGGAGTCAAGTTAGTTAATCGACAGATCATCATCATTGCAAATCAAACCATTCAGTCCATAAGTGCTCAGATCCCCTCTTCAGTATCTTCCTCAGCATGTAGTGGCTTATGACACCAGTACTGATGGTCTGTAAAAATATGGGCGCTCTTCCCATATGCCCGATACGCCTAAAAGGCGTAGAAAGGGATTTTTTTTTTCTTTTTACTGTGCTGGTTTACTATTCTTCTTTGGGCCCCTGTGTAAGGCTCTTGCTGGCTTCAACCCTTTTGATGTTATGTTCGTGTAGTCTCGTCAGTGTTGCAGATTCAAAATCATTATGTGATTTGTTTAACTAAGCCCCCTCTCTAAGGGCAATCAGTATATCAGCCCTGTTCCCTGTCAGCTCGTTCATTGCCCTTTACACAAGAAAGCACTATAACAAATATGAAACTGATTTTTGTCAGACTAGATCTATTAAGGGTCTCCACCTACTGTCTTTGTATGCAACCCTTCTCTGGTAATCTGGTAATTTTAGTTTCAGCTTCATAGCAAACGGGTCACCCCATAGTTGCTCCACTCCTGTGCCAACGAAAAACACACAGAATGTTTATCACAGTCCCTTGTGGAAAGACTGACGAACTGCTGTCACAGCAAATCTAGCATACACTCACATTAAAAGCATATGGTAGCCATTCAAAGTGCTAAAACAAACAGTCCGACATTAGAAATTTAGTTCATCATTGATGGTAGCAGAAGTCCCCAAAAGATCAGTATTTGCACAAGCGATCAATTTTTATCAAATAATGGCCCCACTAATATTGCAACAACTGGCATCGCGCCATTTTTGTAATCTACAAATCACACCACCACGTTGGTCAGTCGAAAAACATTCTAAATGAAATCCACAGCTCACAGTGTCACGCCATGCACTCAACTCAGAAGCTGGGTAACGAAACTATATACTTCCAGTCTACAAATGGAGCAAAAAAAAGCAATGGCCACAGCCTGGCAGAAGCAAAAATTTCTGCCTTGGCTCAAAACAGTGGCAGTGCATAGTGTCCATTTGGACCTGAAGCATTATGTGAGGGTTAATAAACTGTCACCCCAGCAGTACCCTACTATTAGCGGGGAAAGGGATTTAGGACATTACATCCACCAGCAAGCGTCGCCCCAACAACGACCTGACTGCCTTCGTTAACGACTGTTCACCCAACAGCCATGCAGTTCTTTGGCACAAAGGAGACACCTTGAACTTGGGTTTTGGACTGCCGACTCCCTACAAGAAGATATATGTGTGCTACTGGTGTCCCGTAGCCAAAATACCATCTCACTGTATTACTCAAATTCAGCACGCAAACTCAAACGCGTAGTAGTTTAAACAAAAAAAAACACACACACACATATACATTCACTCATTACCTGCCACCCGCTTGCTTGCTGGTGCAGCACATATAACTACATATATATATATATATATATATATATATATATATATATATATATATATATATATATATATATATATATATATATATATATCTCGGAAGAGTTAGAGAATGAGACAAGGGAAGAATCATGCTGAATGACCACAAATATTTAAGACACTGACACAGGGAATTCCCTTTGCACACAAGGTCGGCATGACTGGCTCCAAGAAGGGGACAGTGAATTCAACCCTTCTCATTTTTAACAGCGTGTGGTGTTGTGGAGTCTGTGATCAAGAGGGTCTGAGAAGTCACAGCAGAATATTATACCTTTGCCCGGCTTATTAGTGCAGATCATCGTACTATAACATCATAATGAGAGGCGAAGGAAAGATCAGGGTTGAGAGGAAAACCTAAATGGCTGCCAGAGAGGAGAAAGTATGTCAGAGCAGCTGAGACGACCTAGTTGTACACACATGCTCTGATCTTTTACCCTCCTTCTGAACCCTGACAGCCGCTCTGTAAAATGATTACTCATCAGTTGAGTAATGTTGTGCAAGTGTCGTAAAAGGTTCATTTGTTAACTCTCATTTAGATTTTTCTCTGGAAAACCTGGATGTTGTGAACAATGAAAATACTGGTATATTTGTAAGGAAATTTACAGTAGGGAAAACCTAAATATGGTAATTGAGTTTCTAGCATGCCAGTTAAGTCCTAACTGGTAGAGTCTTGAATAACCTGCCCCTGGTGTTGCAGTTAAATCAAATCAGAGTCTGAAAATGAATTTATCTGAGACCCTATTGTTGTGATTTTTGCATAAATAAAAGATGATCAATTTAGCTCACTCTTAGCATAATGAGTATAGCATCACTTCATATAATTTAATGTATATTCCATTGAGACATGTATGATATAGTTAGGAATTAATCAGTCAGATGAGCCTTATAATAAAGTAAAAAATGCCTGCAAATTATAAGCAAGTTCAAGAAGATATAATCTTGAAAATCTGTTACTAAACTTCTAACTCACAGACACTACTGGAGGACAGTGCATGACTGCATAATGGTATGCTGTGTTTCCTTGTTTATCCTTCTTGCCCAGGTCAACACCAAGCCTCAGGAGCTCTTCTGCTGAAAGAGCCTGTTTGCCAACAATGGCTGCCATCAGTGGAGTCATCTGCTGGGGTTCACATGGCTGGTCAATGAATCTGTCACCAGTGATAAAATCAGTTCTTCATTCTTATCTCATGTGTTTATCCACCTACCAAAAACAGCAAAATACCCAACAATAATTATTTCTTTACAGACTGAACATTTGTTCACAATGTTTCTAATAACTCCATACATTTAAGACAGTTCATTGGCAGGTGCAGCTGCTTTTATGTGGAACTGAGAAGGTCTGTCTCATGTGAACAGTTGGCTGATATGAACTTGATTAAGTTAACTAGCTAGTTCAAACTGACTGGTGCAGAGCTTAAACTGCAGCTGCTCACATTATTTGTTGTGAGACTAATATAACAATGAACATTTGGCTGAATTCATGGTTTTCAAACAGGGAATCCCTGTGTGGGTCTGGCACCCCATTCTAGGCTGGGGGGGGGGGGGGGGGTACACCCACTGCCTCCCTAACAAGCATGTCATACAAGACAACTAATTAGGGGAGTTTCCTTCAAAGGTGGAGTGCATGTGCCTCAAAGGTGAGAAACAAATAGTCAGCAGACAAATAAGCAAGATCTATAAAACAGATGTGCATGCAAAACTCAAGTTTTGGAATAATACCAAAGTCAAGAAATGGACAAACAACCAACATTTTTGTTGGAGTTTACAGCCGGTGAATGTTAAGTAGAAGAAGAAAAAATAACAACAACAACAACAAACAGAAACTCAAACTCACAATTAGAATGTTAATTTAATTAATAGTCTGCAATAACCACATAATCATCTCCATCCTATCTGTGGCAGGGAAATACCAGTCAAAATAATCCATACTTGGCTCAAGGCACACCTTCATCAAGTTTTGCTTCTCCATAGCAAATGTGCTTCAGAGATTGTGCCAACACTGACATGATTTTTTGCTACAAGACACAAACCATTATTCTTGCACTCATCTCACTGGAGAGAAGGTGCGGGTGAGGCAGCAGCAGCATTCAACAAAGATGAGCAAGAAAACACCATGAACTGAATTCAACTGACATGGTCCAAATTCTAGGCCTAACATCCATAAGAACATTCCATGCCAAGATTGACCTTATCAACCATCTGCACACGCATTGTTTCTACTCTATAACTAGCAGGTGAAAGGAATGATCATCATCACCTATGCTGTAAATCAACAACAATCATCTGATGCTACAACAGGAGATCACACAGATTTACAAGAACAAAAATCAGTTCTGAAAAATGCCAATTTTACTAATGTAACGTGGTTAATTGAAATGTGGCAGAGGTCTGTTCAAGGTTTAAGCATGTGTGTATGTGGAACTTGCAATAACTAGTCAGGCTGATCATAATAGTTTTCTTTAAACAGAACAAAAAAATTATTGTCACAATTTTTTATCATATACCTTTTTTCTTTCTGGCTCATGTAGACCTTGTTGTACCACATAATGTACATTTTCTATTTTGTCAACAAGAGATAACCTTTGCCATACTCAAGGTATAAATTCCTAAACTAGACCCGACAGAACTGATACTAAGCACATGATAACGCCCTTCTTCTGCTAGCACAAATAGTACAGAAAAAATTTTTAAGTGCAGTGTCGTTTATAAACACAAAACTGGCTTTAGTAGTTCTTCTTCTTCTTCTTTCGTTCGCCTGAAATAAGTTGTCTATATCAGCAGTTTTGTCTCTTGTATAAATTTCACTGTCATTGTTAGTTCATTCAGTGGTCCATAGAGTTTACATTCCGCTGTTGATCTTTCTGGCCAAAAGGTTTGCCTTAATGTGTCAAATCCAGTGTAGTCCTGCAGTACATGCTCTGCTGTCTGGGGCACATTTCCACAGGTGCACATGGCTGATACACCTATCTTGAATTTTGTGTACATGTGGTTATGTAATCGGTTGTGCCCTGTTCTGAGGCGGAGGATAATGACTTGTTCTGGTCTGTCCATAATAAAATAGTCATCTTGTGCTGGGGCTGGTGGTTTCCTGATCGATTTAATGATTCTTTTCTTTTGGTGGTATGTGACTGGTACATCCGGCTGCTCTTTTGTCGCACCTTCCCCTGTCAGTTGATCAGCTTTCTTATTTCCAGGCACTCCACAATAAGACGGTATCCACTGCATTACGACTCTTCGGTGAAGGCTGAGTTGTGTCAGCAGTGTGCTTTAGTAGTTATTCTAATAGTAAGATATTATTGATGATATACAGTTGGCAAAGAAATACTGATGCAAAAACTTACAATGAATAAACAATTAAATATGATTTAAAAGTTCAGAAACTCCATTTTCATTGCTGCAGGCAATGAAACAGCTGTAAAATTCCTTTTTTTTTTTTTTTAATTAAAAGCATTTGATCAATTCATGCATTTTTTGTTTTATAAATACTAATGACTAAAACAAACAGAGCAAAAGGTCCTATATTTATATGTGAATTGCTTTAGGCACATTAAATGCCACAGAGGTTTAAAAAAGTGCACTTACAGCAGGCATGTCCGTGGAATGCCGAAACAGATGGGCAACAAACAACATAAGATGACACAGAAACTTGACAGAGAGGAGTGGAAAATCAAGACTGGTAATATCTGCTCAAACCAGGGTCCTAAGAAATAACAACCATGACCCAGAAAAAAAAACATTGTAGTAAAGATACAAAGAATAGCACAATGTTAATTAGACTATAAGTGACCACACTAAAAGTTTAAAAAAACCAAAAGATTTTAACACACACAAAAAAACATACACAAATACCCACTGTATAATACCAGGACATTTCAAACAGGCATGATATCCCAAAAATGCTGCAACATGAGCACAGGTCCACAGTGGATGTTCCTTTATGGTGTCCAAAATCTTCTGAAGACAATCTTCCTGGAATGGAACTGTGCAGCTAGCAACAATTGGCCCCATTGTAGTCACAAGAGAATTGTAGAGAACAGTTGCATCGATCTCATTTGTGTACCTAAAAATGCTGCACAGAAAGAAAACATTTAATAATAAACATGCATCCGCTGATCAAACAGAATGCCGTCTAAGTTTAAAATGATATTCAATTATGTTCAGTACAGATACTGCAAGTCAGACATTTCTGCGTGTATTCTTACAATGTCATTAACAAATCTATCAGTATTCATCAATAAAAAATATCTATTTGATCTTTAATTATGGATGTTAATGTATTTACTGGAGTCCTTTGGCCATTTTGACCTATAATATAAACTCGATTTACAGAATTTATATTCTAGCATTTAGCTGAACAGTTGCACTTTGTCTCAACTTTTCAACAGCATGTATAATCAAGCAAATGTTAAAAACTAAACTGAAAGAAATGCATGATTCAACAATAGTTGCATGTGCCACTCTTTTTGCTAATACAGTAAACCCTTGTTAACATGAACTTGCATATGAAGAACACTTATCTATGTCCTTGAGCTCAGAGTTGTTGGTTTTCACATGTTTACTTGATGCAACTGCTCAACAATCGCTATCCTCATGTCAACAATCAGCTGACATTTTAACCAACAGGTTCAGTTAAATAGGGGTCCAAATTACAGTATTGTAATTTAATATTATTGGTTGCTTTTCCTATAGACAGGAGTCATGCAAGAGAAAGCAAACAGGCATAGATATTCAACAACTACAAAAAATCCTAGAGGAAGTAGGTGGTACATTGAAGACAACGATAAATGCTCAATATGGACTGGTCAAGTCTACCTTATCTACAGTACTTAAAGATCGTATAAAAATTCCATTGCTGGTGCATCAGGTTCTATGTGGCTTTGAAGAACTAAGTATGAAGATATTGAAACGTTACTCCTACTAGAATTGTTCAACTATATGTTACCCTTAAGTAAACTTATAATCCAGCCAAAAGAAAATGAGAGTGCCAAAAATGTAGACATTTAAGATTTCAGATTGTTTCACTGGTTGTGGTACCGGTTTCAAAAGAGACACTAAATTTCATCAATAGCTATTTGTGGTAAAGCAAATAAAGTTGATAATCAGTAAATCCTGCAGCATGTAGCGGCTGATGACACCAGTTCTGTGTTAGTTTATTATTCTTCTTGAACTATTCTTGTAGTGTTCTCGTTTCGTGACACCCTGTTTAACTTGCTGTTCTTGCAGTGTGACCATGGTTGCAGATTCTCAGTTCTTAATTAGTTCAGGCAAACGTCTTAAATCTCGTAGAGCATTAAGTATATCAGCCTGGTCCATGGCTTGTCCAGCTTTCACAGAAGCCTTACCTGCAAGTCTATCAGCTTGCTCATTTCCATGTACCCCACATGTCCTGGAAAATGAAACTAATCCTTGTCAGCCATGAATGCTGTGCAGCCACCAACTACTGCCTTCGCACCCAGCCCTTCTCTATTTTCCTAACTGCTGTATGTGTCACTGCATATATGCCACACTGATTACTGTTTGGTTTCAATGACTATATGACACACTGAATGCTGTTTCTAAGAACAAAAAAGACTCTGCCTTTTGCATCATTGCATATGTTCTCACCTAAACATCCTCGAGGGAACATCTGGTTTAGTAATAACACACTCAAACGTGACCAAAGTCGCCTGTCGGCAGTACAAAGTGATGTTGCCTTCATGTTTCATACAATAACATCTACAGAGAAGACATGATATATCTGTGGTCAGCAATAGTCAGTGAAACTGCATTTTAAATACTAGACTACACAATGAAATTGACAAAATTATAAATATTTATTTGTCCTGTAACATGTTTAGTGTTACTGCTTAAACAAGAAGATGGAACAAGGCTCCACATATGATCCTATACAAGAACTTTCATACAGTAGACACATTTGCACAAATATAATTGAAGCCATTTTGAGAGAAACTGAGGCAGCATCATAGAAAATTAAAATACGAACATGAAACTCAGCAGCTTGGCACCATATACCTATTGACAGAACAAATGTGGATACCAATTTTTGTTTTGTTGCCTCTCTACAAGTATCATAATGGTGGTCTAGCACTGTCTGGTTGTGTGGCTGCTTCAGCCCGTTGCCTATAAGCCTCAGCCCTAAAGAAAACCCTCTTGGAAGACACCAGATCTGGTACCAATACTGGTTGGGCAGGCAGTCTAGTTGTGTGTGGTGTGTGTGCATGTGCGTACGTGTGTGCATGTGTGTGTGTGTGAGAGCATATCTCTCTCTCTCTCTATCTCTGGTTACCTTTCCTCAACTGAGCTCTTGTATGGTTTGTTCTATGGTATATGGTGGTGGTCACACCACTGCCAACAGCCTTGGCTGACTGATTGAACTATGAGAGTGAACTAAGAAGAAAATCAGAGTAAGGGAATGATTACCTAATATGTAAAAAAGCAGACAGTTAAAGAAAAAGGAGAATGAGGAGTCCAAAGATGTCTAATGTTACCTGTCCCAGCAAGCAAAAGCAATTCACAAACAGCATTACCGCTTGACATTCATTGGGATCTGTCAGACTATACAGGCTAACAACACTGAAAAAGGGGGGTGTGGATTTCAGCTGGTCATCTCTGCTCAGTCTACATCAACAGAGGTCGTAATGTCGCTCTGATGGAAAATGCAGCGCAAGATACTACACACAGAGTGGTGGTCAGAGGTATTTCTGTCAGAATCATGGAAGATAAAGCAGTGGGTGGTAACAGAGATCAAGATTTTCTCACTGGCTTGAGCTACAGCCATACTAACAACAAACTCACAATGACTGAATTCTTCCCCACATGAAGTGCGACATTGTCAAAGCAGTGAAGTGTCAGTAGATATCTAATTTACAACACAGCGGCCTCTAAGAGGCATAATCTTTTAAGATTCAAATTGCATGTTTCAAAAACCTGAAACAGTATTGTTTGAAATAGAAGACAGCACTCAAAGAATTATACAGTGACTCAAATTCTATGTATCTATCAACAATTTGGAGATGATCTGACACTGTGTGAAGTTAAAATTTAAGGAGATGCTCGACACTATCAACTTGAGTGTCATTTTGAAGGACATTGACCTAACGGTTTTGTGACCACTGATGGGCGTCTCTTCCTGTTACATTCCATGATCTCATTATTTACAAAAAGACAGCATGACTCTTGACATTCACTGGTATCTGTAGGGGTATACAGACACAGCCACCATTAGTTGAGTCCAGCTGGTCATCTCTGCTCAGTCTACATCAGCGGAGGTTGTAATGTCACTCTGATGGAAAACGCAGGGCAAGACTCTACACATTGAGAAGTGGAGTGAGGTGGTAATGTCAGTTTTTTTCAAGTGTTATTATCAAGATAGAGCAGTGGGTGGCAAAATAGATCAAGATTTTCTCACTGGCTTGTAGTGGGCTGTAGTGGCTAAGACTCTTGGGCAGTGGAGCACACCAGCTGTTTCACCTTGTAAGTGTCTAGCCTTACAGGTGAAAAAGGCGCACTCAGGTGGTAAGTCCTCTGACCTGGCAAATCTTTCTACTGTAAAGACCGTTGTGTGATTGAAAAGGCATATCCTTGAAAAAGTGACCCCGTTAACCAAGACCTTGTGGTCCTGGGACCCCAAAAAAAAACGGATCTAGAGGAGACAACCTGGATATAAACACCAAAGCCTAAAGTGGATCTATGTGCTGGAAGGCTGAATAGCTGTGGGATAGTCAGTCGTGAACATGGACGTCTGGTCAATTGGAGGTCCGGTGCCAGGCGTGTGAACTCCATAGGGACATCCATTGCCCCTTCTCTAGCAGGAAGGCTCTACTAGGATGACCGGCTACTTCCTGCTTCATAACAATTTTATCTAATGGATTTTTTTATTTCACAAGAATAGTCGCCAGAGCTACAGAGCATGCGCTCTGCACTTGCCATCATCTTCAGTGAGCAGCAAAGAGAAAGTGAAGAGGAGAAAACGAGGAAATGATAACAGAAAAAATCAGAGAAATAAAAGGGCAGGAGTCAGAAGACTTAGGTGAAAAACAGACCAGCTGAGGTTCAACCATGTAAGAGTGTGTTTTTGGAATTGTCTCAGTGCCAAATAGAGAGGGCCCATACTGGAGCGGTTGATTAATGATTCTGATGTAGTCATGCTTCAAGAGCTGAATGCAGACAAATATCATAGCTCTGGATATTTCAGCAATGTAAACCCTGCTGGACATGGGCAATGTCGCTTCCTGTAGGTGGCGTCTGCAGGAAGCGACTGAAATGTGAGAGACTCAGCTTAAAGTATGTTCGCGTTCTCTACTGGAACTGCGCTTCGTTCAGTCAACGCCGACCCATTTTCAGAAGCTCCTCTACAGCAAGGACATTGTTGTCCTACAGGAAACACACCTCGGTGACGAGATCATTAAAATTGCGGGCTTCCAATCCTTCTACAATAGACGGCACCTCGGACAGCTCATTCTTGTTCGTGACCACATACCGGTGTCTGAGGTGGACATGTCTGAGTGGGATAATGACGACCTACAAGTACACGCAGTCAGAGTGTTGGGCCCGGCCCAGTTTGTGATTGTCAATGTGTACGCCTGCAATGGAAAGGTGGATACAGCGAAATGGCAGAGTTTGCTCCAGACTGAGGAAAAGAAAGTCCTTTACTGCGGAGACTTCAACGCCAGAGGAAACCAGTGGGGCAATGTAATCACCAATAAACAGGGGGAAGACCTGGAGGATGCTCTAGTGTCTGCCGATCTAGTATGCTTGAACGACGGAAAGGTTACCCGAATGGCAACCCGACAAGGGGATTCTGACAGCGTAATTGACCTGGCCCTAGTGTCTCCCTCCATTGCATCAGGATGCAGGTGGAGCACACTGGGATACCATGACAGTGATCACTTTCCTTGCGTCGTCCTGGTGGAGAAGAGCAACAGCAAATGTCATGTAATCAATGTGCCTGCTTTTATATATGACCGTACAGGGCAAGATGTCATTAGCAAAATCAGACGACGTAAAACAAGAGCAGATCGCAGACGGCGGGAGAGATGGGCCCAGCCACCATGGTGGAATGAAGTAGTCAACATGGCGTGGCTAGAAAAAAGGAACGCTGTCAAGGCATGGCAAAAGGCAAGGAAAATTGATCCGTCACTTTCTGAAAGCCTGATCAGTCTGAAAGATGAGGTCAACAAGCGGACAGTGGCTTTCAAGTTAATTGCGAAAGAAGCCAAGACAGCGAAATGGAACGAATTCTGCAAGAGCGTTTGCTCCGAGGGATCTCTTGTAACATTCTGGCGCCTTCAACGGAGCATGCACGGCGCCGGACGACCAAGGGATATTCCTGATTTTCAGGGTACAGACCTGATATGGCAGAGAACTGATGCTGATAAAGGAAAAACCCTTCTTGCGCGCTACTTGGAGCAAACTGACCAAAAAGACGAAGCTGCAAGAATAGGGGTTAAGATGAAACTGTCGATGCTATGCGAGAACACTGAGCTAGGCACTGATTTCACAATCACTGCAGACACCTTAAGAACTTGCCTCAAGAAATCGCGCAGCACTGCTCCAGGCCCTGACGGCATCCGATACAATGACATGCTGATGATGTCGAATGCTGATTTGAAAAGCGTGGCAAAGGAATTCAATATCAGCATCCAGAGTGGCCAGATACAAGAGGAATGGCTCCATAGTTATTTGTTCCCACTACCAAAGCCTAATAAAGACCACTCAAAGATCTGCGGCTACAGAATCGATGCAGAATACTGTTGGCAAACTTTTGGAAAAAATTGTCGCACAAAGATTGACCACCTACTTGGAACTACATGATAAGTTCCCATCAACACTTTGAGGGTACAGGTTGAAGAAAGAGACATGGTTCAATGCTGCTGTTTTCGCCTACGATGTGTACGAGGGATTTCAGATTAAAGAAGAGACATGTGCGGCAGTGTTGGACTTAGAAGATGCCTACAATAAAGTACCAGATGATTATTTAATGCAATTACTGCTTAAACTAGAAGTCAATCCTATTCTAATCCGCTGGATTGCTGCGGTCCTGTTCCAGAGAAAGATTGTACTAAGATGTGGTAGCTGGTCCTCAGAACCGCAAACGATATGTCCAGGCTTGCCACAGGGATCACCGCTATCACCAGTCTTATTCAACGTTTATACGATGATGATCACTGAGCAGCAGTTGAATGGAAAGGGAAGGACTTTGTCATTTGCTGATGACATTTTGATTTATCGACGAGGGCGTGATAGACAGGAGATCGCCAGCATAATGCACAAAGAACTCGATCGAATTGCCGCCTGGTGTGATGGTTCCAATGCCTATGTCAATCCTTCGAAGGCATCAGTGTCATGGTTCTCTTTGAACAATCACATTGTCAAGTCTGACTTACCAGAAGTGAAAATGCGTGATAATGTATTGATCAGAACCAAGGTTATGACGTTTCTCGGGGTGAGGTTCGATCGCAGCTTGTCATTCAGGGAACACGTTGACCATGTGATAACAAAAGCACGCAAAGGTCTATCTGCAATGAGGATTATGGCTGCTTCCAATATCGAGCAAAGACTACTAGTACTTCTATTCTACGGTCTGGTCCTTTCCCCCATTGAATACGCTCTGGTCATCCTCACTGTCAGTGCTACCCAGATTGAACGACTCGAAAAGGTGCAAAATGAAGCCATGCGTATTATTTTAGGATGTACAAGAGACACATCCTGTGGAG